TTCACTACACTGCACATCAGATCAAAAGACTGAAGGGCAGAAACAGAAGACTGAATTGGCCCACAGGGCTATTGGGAAGGAGTGGGCAGTGGGAGAAAAGGCTGGAGCTCTGGGAACTGGACGGAGGCACACCAGGTAGCTCCATTTTCATTCATGCCCAGTTCTCCCATCTTCTACTATAGGAGGTCAGCTTCTCAGCTTGAGCCTCCCAGGGTGAGTTGAAGAACCTTGGAGAGAACTCACTCCAGGGAAGGAGGAAGAAGTGCAATGCATTTGCCTGAGCTTCACAGCCTTAAAGTCCAAGAAAGGTGAGCATTCTGAGTGGTCTGACTTATCCCACCCCAACCTTCTTCCTTTTATACATACCAGACTTGCACTAAGGTCCAAAGGCTCTCCCTGGCTTCTTCTGCTCCCTCTCCCAATAAATCTCTTGTACATCTAGTCTTGCCTTGGTGTTAGCTTCATGCTGAACCTAAACTGACACAAAGGCATTGTCCAAACACCTTCCGCCATGTTACAGGCCATCAGGCCACTCTAGCATATTGTCAGAGGGGAGCCTTGGGTGCCTAGTGGTTGTAGGTTTGTTTGTTTGTTTGTTTGTTTAAAGATTTTATTTAGTTATTCATGACAGACACACAGAGAGAGGCAGAAACATAGGCAGAGAGAGAAGCAAGCTCTCTGTGGGGGGCCCAATGCAGGACTCTATCCCAGGACCCTGGGATCAGGACCTGAGCCTAAGGCAGACACTCAACCACTGAGCCACCCAGGTTCCCCTGTAGGCTTCTTTTTAAACATATGTGAATCACCTTTCATCCCAGGAGCTACAGGACACAACTGGGGGCGCTTTGCAGAGGGATGAGATACCAGATAAGCAGGTGGGGCAGGATCCCATGAAACTTGGGCTGTGGCTGTTGATATGACCCCACTGGTGGACATAGGCTGGTGAGAGGATGAGGAAAACTAAGATTATAAATACACAATACAGATATCATACTGAACTGATAATAACTGCTATCATAAGCCAGATGAACCCCATGTTTAATATCTATAGCAAGAATATTATAGCTGTGTTGTATTTGTAAATCAGATAACATAGAGGCAAAATTTACTGCTTGCTATATGCCAAGCACTATACTAAGCTCTTTATTTGATAATCAATATCCATTACTTTCTTCTTCTATGCTAATAAAACCTTGCTTTTGTTTGAGACAACAGTGAGCCAGCCAGATAATGGCTTCTGTCATATAATCGTGACATTCCTGTTCTCAATGGTCCCAACTTCTTCTCATTAAGAGGTGTCCACACAATGCAGTTCTGTCCAGGAGACCCAAGCAGAAGTCTGCTGGGGTAGGGATGGAAGACTGAGTTATGAAAATGCTTCTCCTAGAAGACTACAGGGGCAAACTCCTCGCCCTCTTCAGATCTTTGCTCAAATATCACCTTCCCAGTAACAACTACTCTGAACACCCTGTATAAAATTGTAGAACCAGGCACAGTGTAGACACTCAAAACATTTTTTTTTCTTTAGGGGAGTATATGAAAACAAAACTGGGAAAAATACTGGACAAAGTGCAGAATAGCAAGTACAAATGCCCTGGGACAGGAACATGCCTTATGGTGAGTTGGAGGCGACTGGCATGACTGGGATGGAGTGATGTGGAGGAGGAGATAGATGAAGCCAGAATGACATGGACAGCCTGATCATGTGGGGTTTGCAGGTCCCAATAAAGCCCCTGGCTCATAATCTGAGTGAGTTGGGAAGCCAAAGAGGAACTCTGGGAAGGAGAAGGACAGCTTCTGCCATCCATTTAAAAGCATTGTCTGGGGGCACCTGAGTGGCTCAGTCAGTTGAGTGTGGGACTCTGTGGATTTCTTCTCAGGTCACAATCTCAGGGTCATGAGATTGAGCCCCATGTCAGGCTCCATGCTTAGCGTGGAGTCTGCTCAAGATTCTCCCTCCCCCTCTGCCCCTCCTCCTTCTAAATAAATAAATAAATAAATAAATAAATAAATAAATAAATAAAAGATTAAAAATATTAAAACTATCTGGCTGCTGCCAAGAGAGAGACTGAAGGGGTACAAGTGGAAGTAGGGAGAACAGTTAGGAGACTACTGCAAAAATTCAAGCTGGTGAGGCTATAGCTTGGACCAAAGCAGTAGCAGTGAGGAAGGAGAGAAGTGATTGGTTCTGGATGTATTTTGAAGCATAGTCAATAGTATTTGCTCACAGAGAGGGTATGGATTGTGAGAGAAAGGGAAAACTGATGGATGACGTTAAGATTTTTGTCTGAGCAACTGAAAGCAAGGTGATTGGGAGGACTGCAGGAGAATGGGTTTTGGAGGAAAATCCAGGCATTCAACTTTGGACATGTTTTAAATTTGAGATGCCTATTATATATCCAAGTGGAGATGTTAAGTAGTCAAATGGATATACAGCTCTCAATTTTGTGAGAAAATTTCATGCCAGGGATATAGGTAGTACTTAGAGCTATTAGACTGGATGTATTTACATAAGACATAAGTATGGGGGAAGGAAGGAAGGAAGGAAGGAAGGAAGGAAGGAAGGAAGGAAGGAAGGAAGGAAGGAAGGGAAAGAGAAATGAGGGAGGAAAGAAGGAACGAAAGAAAGAAAGAAAAAAGAAGGAGGAAAGAAAGAAAGATGGGGAGGGAGGAAGGAGGAAAAAGAACAGAGAAATAAGGGAGGAAAGAAGGAGAGAGAAAGAGGAAAGAAAGGAAAGGAGAGGAAAGGAGAGGAAAGGAGAGGGAGAGAAGGAAGGAAGGAAGGAAGGAAGGAAGGAAGGAAGGAAGGAAGGAAGGAAAGGAGGTAGGAAGGAAAGGAGGTAGGAAGGAGACTGGGTGGCTCAGTCGGGTAAGTATCTGCCTTCAGCTCAGGTCATGTTCCCGGAGTCCTGGGATGGAGTCCTAGGTCTGGTTCTCGAAGTCTGCTTCTTCCTCTGCTTGCAGCTTACCCTGCTTGTGTGCTCTCTCTCTCTCTCTCTTTCAAATAAATAAATAAAACCTGAAAGAGAGAAAGAAAAAGAGAGGGAAAGAAAGAAGGAAGGACAGAAGGGTGGGGGGAGGAAAGAAAGAAAGAAAGATCGTTCCAGGGCGAGGCTGAGTCCTGGGACACTCAGGTAACGATGATACATTGTGTGCCAGGCGCTGCTGCCTTATGTGCAGGTGCCCATTTAGCCTTGTAAAAAGTTGCCAGGTGGGATCCCTGGGTGGCGCAGCGGTTTGGCGCCTGCCTTTGGCCCAGGGCGCGATCCTGGAGACCCGGGATCGAATCCCACGTCGGTCTCCCGGTGCATGGAGCCTGCTTCTCCCTCTGCCTGTGTCTCTGCCTCTCTCTCTCTCTCTCTCTCTCTGTGTGACTATCATAAATAAATAAAAAAAATTAAAAAAAAAAAAAGTTGCCAGGTAAATACTCTCACCTGACTGGATGCAGGGGGGGCATCTGTTTCATAGCGACCCGTCATCTGTCCAAAGGCACACAGATGATTAAGTGCTACTATCTACCTGTCTTTTGAGGTAAATGACTTTAATGTCCTCCAGCAACTTAATTTATAGGCCTTGGCATCACCTTTTGTCTAGTAGTCCCCATCCAACCAGCCTCATTTTCACATTAAGCTTCAGTACAGAGTGTGTTAATCTCTTAACTTGAAGCACTACTACTGCCTCCTGGTAGGACTTCCTGCTGTTGGACTGTCCCTGCTCCAGGCCATACCTTATCTTTCTAAAAATAAAAGTGACTGTGTTACCTTCCTGCTTAGCCCTTCTATTAATTCCCCATTACCTGCAAACTCTAGTCCAGTTTTATTAGCCTGGTTTCCTAGAGCCTTCACAATCTGGCTCCAAGCTATTTTTCCAGTCTTACCTCCTGCTACTCTCTCCACAACTCCAACTCCCATGCCAGTCACTTTCCTGTGACACTGAACCTCTGGTTGAGACACACCAAGCTCTTTCACAACTGTTTCACATGCTCTTTCCTTTCTGCACCCACACTGGTTAACAACCCCCACCCCCCAAATACAACATTGACTGGAAGACGTGATGGGGGCACGGTGTTATTTCACATCTCAGAAGAAAGCTTTCAATATTTCATAAGTATGATGTTATTGTTTTAGATACATGGCATCACATAAAGGAAGTCTCCTTTTTGTAATTGCTAAGAATTTGTTGTTTTATCATGAACAGATATGGAATTATATCACATGTTTCTTTGCATCCATTCAGTATCATGCATTCCCTCCTTTAATCAGTCATTGATTTCTTCTCTATTGTAAGAAAGATATTCCCTGGGTAAACCCAACATGATCTTTATGTATTATCCTTTCTTTCTTTCTTTTTTTTTAAAAGATTATACTTATTTATTTATGACACACAGAGAGAGGCAAAGAGAGAAGCAGCCTTCCTGCAGGGAGCCTGATGAGGATCCTCAATCTCGGGACCCCAGTATCATGACCTGAGCCAAAGGCAGATGCTCAACGACTGAGCCACCCAGGCACCCCTGTATTATCCTTTCTTTATATATATATTCCTGGATTTGATTCACTACTACTTTATTTAGCACATAGCCCTGCAATCTGTGCAGGGGCCCCAGAGGTGGGGGGGGAGCACTGTTTGGAGGGGCAACCCAAAGCAACCTGATAATGGGAACAAAGTTCGATTTCCACTTTTCTCTGGGATTAGGGGCTCTGAATAGATGCCTAGGGTTGGGGATGAAGGGGATGTCTCCAGCTTTGTATTATATAGGAAAATGAAAATTTATTATTAGTAACCTTCATATTAAGTACAAAGTTCAGTACACATTCAACCCAAAATCAAAACAGATCTTATTGTTATAAATCAAGTTTTAATAGCAGTGAAATAAAAGGCTAATATTTGTAAGTAAACCTACTTGATGCTGAGTTTGTCTTACCTTAGTTCATCTTATCTAAAAAATAACAAATAAAAAGAAAGTCCTAAAAAGTCCCCAAAACACCCTTGTGGAAATCTTTCTACAAGTCCATGAATGACATCTTCTCTGTCACTTTGAGGAAGCCAAGGTTGATGAGGGTGGTCTTTTCCAGTTCTAAGTAACTCTCATAGTCCCTTTTCAATTCAGCCTCAAGCTGTTCTTTTGACTTCTGATACGTTTTCTAGGAGGAAAAGCCAAATTATCCAAATAAAGCACTGACAGCTGGAAACACTAGAGGTAAGAAGGAGCTGCTTTGGAGCATTTGCCTTGCCACTGCCCTGTGGGAGGGCTTTGCAGGAAGGCCAAGGGCAGGAGGGCGTGTCTGGCACAGGGAGGAGAGTGGCTGCTGGTTCTGGAATCAAGAGGTGTATGCAGATTTCTGTAGCTCATGAGGCCTGCCAGATGTTAAGAGGCTGGCTGTCTTTCCTGGCCAGCGATCCTTCTCTAGCAGTGGTCCAGGAAGGTTTCCTCAGGGAGTCTGGTTTTACAGAACTGGCAAGTGGGAAATACATGGCCCTTTGATACCTCTTTATTTAAAAAAAAAAAACAAAAAAAACCTTCTAGTCTTCCTCATAATTCTTATCTCCCTTATGTAGCCTGGAGTATGGATAATTGACTAGGGGTTACAGAATTCTTTTGAATTCCTCCCTCTCCTAAGTCCTATTTAGATGGCATAGCTTATGGATCAGATGGTAACTCCTACTATTTCCAGCTTTGGGTCTCCAGCTGAAATTCCAGTTAGAAGAACTCCCATTTCATGTGCTGTTAGAGCTGTAATTACTATTATTTTTCAAGAAATGGTCTGTTCCAGATTCAATGTTTGCAAAGAGATAGGTGTATAGTTTCCTTTGGATGCGTGGGTTGATGTGTACAGACTAATTACCCTGGCAACTGCAGGGTGCTTGTGAAGACCAGCCTTGCTGGATGGATGTGTGATCCTCCCCTGCCTTCTGTAATAATAATAGTGAATGCTTACTACCATTCTCCATGTGCCAGCTACTGGATGAGTGCTGTAAATATTTTAACTCATTTAATCTCCACTACGCCCCCTCTGAGGTTGTTACAGTTTGCTCCCATTTTCCCTTTCATCAGCAGTTGCTCCTTAGAAGATATTTCTCACTAACCTTAGTTGTTTTTCCTTGGTGATGCTTTTCATGTTCTAAATGTAACAGAGGAGCCCTTTTAGATCTATTCGCTTATCCCCAGTCTAATTCCAGAGAAAATTTGAGAAGCAGTAGCTCTACGTTAAAGAGGGTACTATCTCAAATGGAAACGAAGCTACAGGAAGAAGTTGGGAGACTCAAGCACATGATACAATTTCAAGGTATGATTATTATAATATTCAGATGTTTTAAAAGCATTTCATAGGCAAATAATTTTTGGATTTTCCCACAAGTCTACTTGCTTCCACTGATGTGGATAATTAGGAGCCGTCACTGTTGTATTTAAATGCTCACAATAATCATGGGTAATTGTGGGCATAAAGGAAGGGTGTCAGGTTATCTCCCACCACAGAATTTCAACCAGCATTTGTGAATGTGCAAAAGAACAGACCGAGACCAATTTTTTTGAGCAGGGAAAATGATGAAAAGTTAATTGGTTGGTATTCTTTTATACCTTGTCGCCACTAAACAATGTTTTTGAAATGAGGCCCTTTGCCTTTATTACACTAATATGTACCTATCACTAAGTGACAATGTAGACATTAAAATTTCCACATGCTCATGCTTCTAACAGAGACCTAGGGTTTCATATGCATAATTGTATTGGAGGAGATTATATATTTGGCTATAAGGAATTTATAAACGGGATCAGTGGTGAAATTGCTAGGGACAAAGGCCTCAAAAGGGAATGAGCAAGAGAGAAGTAGAAATGTGGTATAGAAATGTGGAGAAGTAGAAATGAGGAGATCTCTGTGGAGAGAGAGAGAGAAGAGCCGAGTTCATAGCATATTTAAAGGCCCTGATTCCTGTGGGCCAGGGAAGACCCACAGTGAACAGGGTTCCTAGCAAATGGAGGGAAGGCGAGGAACTCCAGAGTTATAGGTTCCTGTCTGGTCGAAGGATGTGCCCTCTACCAACTTTTCCTCTGTCTCCAATTTTATAGCTTGCGGATGTTATATTAAATTCCTATCTATCTGCCTACATCCTAGTTCCCATTTACTAAGGGCTACCATTTGTCAGGCTACTGAACTGACAGCCTAATCCTGGAAGGTAGTTATCAGTATTCCCATTTTAAAGACAAGAACTGAAGCTCAGCACTGATATGAGGCCTGGTCCAGGTCCTGCTGCTAGTAGTGGTGGGTGGAGTTGGGATTTGAGCCCATGTGTCTTGTTTCTATATCCCATTCATTTTACACTGCCTGTTTCTCTTTCTTTCTTTCTTTTTAATTTTTAAAAAGGTAATCTCTACACCTAAGTTTGAGTGGGGCTCAAACTCAACTACTCCGAGATCAGGCATCAGATGCTCTGTGGACTGAGCCAGCTAGGTGTCCCATGTGCTACCTGGTTTAAGGTATTATTCACCAGATGTTAAAATTCTATGCAAAGAAAGATTCCAAATTTTGAATTGTTGTATCTATGAATGATATTCAGGTGACTTTGTATCTAAAGAACTTTGAAATTATGGAAAACTTCAGAAAGTTAAGTTGGATAGAATCTAGATAGGTGTCCAGTTCATAGTTGTTGCTCACGGTAAGCTAGGAAATGAGAGAAATACCCTCTTGACTGCCATAAGAACAAGAAAAGAATGTGAAAAGGCATAATTTTCCTATTAAAACTATGCATATTTCCACTGGGGTCAGAAGAAGTCAACGACTTTTGTTTCTGAAAAAAATCACTTACAGTTTTCTTCTTCTCAAGCTCCAGCTCCATTTCCTTCTTTTCTTGGTCGCGAATTTTCTTGCGTTGTTCTATATATTCCAGATGCTTGACTTCTCTTTCGAAGTAGTAGTTCATGCTTGATACCTGTTAGAAGCACAGGCCCTTGAGTGGGGAGCCCACATGGAATGCTCCATGTTCTTCACAAGGCTCTAGAAGAATTTCTGCTGCCCATAATTCATTAGCTGGCTTACCTGCTTTGAGATACCACCCACAGGCCCACTACTAGAGGAGCTAGCTCCATGTGAGGGTTACTGTGCTAAGGTTCAGGGCCCTACAAATTGAAGGATTCCATGAAAGGAGTGGGGATGGAAGGAGAGCAGCAAAAAAATGACAATTTTGTAAAAGAAATACTCGGGGATGGCTTTTTTCCCTTTTCTTGCTTTTCACTTCTAAGCCTGAGGAAAGTATCATATCATTAATCACTCTTGGAAAACCCAGATAAGGAGATCAGTGTAAACCCTAAAGGGACTGGAAGTGGAGCTGAGTTCCTGGTCACCTGGAGGATTTGAAAGGAGTCCTATGCTTCAGTTACAACCTGAAAATACCATGTTATGAATCCACAAGTCAATTCTTTTCTTAATCTGGGCTTCATTTACTTGCCCTCTCTCTTATCACATTTGGGTGTTTTGTTTTTGTTTTTATTTTTGTAGTTTCAAGCTATTTAACTCCTACAACAGAAACACACCCCCTTATTTAGGATTGTATGATTCTTTTGTTTTCTTACAGAGCAAAAATGCTGTCATTTCTGAACACATTTTTACAACATGCCTCAGCAATATCTGGTCACATAAATCCTCAGAGCCAAAAGTTACTAACCTCATTGGTGGAAGGGTGACTTAATGTCCAAGGAATTTCCAATATATGCAGTGTTCCATAATAATCAGCTATGGCTATAAATTGCTGCTTTGCTGAAAGATCCAAAAAATGGAAGAGAAAGCATAAAGTCATCCTGGAGGTTAAACATGAAATATGTTTTTGTTTTGTGGTTTCCCAAAAGACCTGCTGCAGTTACAATAGGCTTGGCATCTTCATCAGACATTCATGACTGAGGACAATATTAACATATAAAAATCATCTTTTCCAGTAGATGAAATGAAAGCCAAGACCCTGAACTTTTGTTGGCCATTCCATCCCCCCCAACTCTTATCTTCTTGGTGCTCATGTGCTCATGTAAGGAGTGATTCCTAGTGAGGCTGACCCTCTGTGTGCCTGGGCTGCTGGGCAGACTTGATAAGAAAGTGGGGATAACACATGCAAAGGTTTTCAAAGAAAAATCATGAAGCCAATTTCCACCACAGACTCAGTAAGGGCTGAGGGATACCATTATCCAAATGAATTTCAAAGACACAGCCAGAACCAGTTTTCTTATTATCAGATAGCTTCTTTTGATCATTGAAAATAGACATCAAACACAAAATGTGTTTAAGAATTTTAATTTTCTCTTATCATATGTGGTTTTTTTCTTTTTCTTGGTTGCAGAAGATTTGGTTTAAATTGTTAAGTTTTAGATTCATAATCCCTGTTGTATACAAAAGCAATGTTTTGTAGCAAAGATGGAAAAAAACCCACACTTGGTGACACATAATGGTTAAGCGGTAGTAAGACTGTGAGACTCCAGAAATTCTGAAGACTGAATTTCTTTATTTTTTTTATTTTTTTTATTTTATTTATGATAGTCACACAGAGAGAGAAAGAGAGAGAGAGAGGCAGAGACATAGGAAGAGGGAGAAGCAGGCTCCATGCACTGGGAGCCCGACGTGGGATTTGATCCCGGGTCTCCAGGATCGCGCCCTGGGCCAAAGGCAGGCGCTAAACCGCTGCGCCACCCAGGGATCCCCCTGAAGACTGAATTTCTAAACATAATGTTTCTGAGAGAATATGGGTAGAAAGACAATTTCATGCCTGCATACCTTTGGAAACAAAGGGAAACTTTTTTTTTAAGATTTTATTTATTTGACACATAGAGAGTGAGCATGAGCAGGGAGTGGGAAAGGGTGAGGGAGAGGGAGAGGGAGAAGCAGGCTCCTCACTGAGCAGGGAGCCCAACTTGGGACTTGATCCCAGGACCCTAAGATCATGACATAAGCCAAAGGCAGACACTAATTGATTGAGCCACGCAGGCACCCTAAGAAACTTCTTTTAAAAGAAGGAAATATACTCTGTTTATATGGAAAGTAGTGGCTTGGGTAAAACAGAGAAATTGGGACAAAGGATATAAATCACTTTTTCAAGAACACATCCTTGAATTTCTCCTTGCTTTGTTATATGTTGTTTTTCCTCATAATTAGTTCAAAAGTTAGAGGTTTAAATAGGTAAATGACCCCAGAGAGTCATTTGATCTCATAAAAAGGATGGCTTGATATTGTCCAGGGAAAAGCCATAAAAATGACAAAATATTGAAAATTTGTGGCATAATTAAAAATTAAAGATACAAGAACTATTCTATTTGGAAAAGAAGCAGCAAAGGGCAGCAAAGATTTAGGGATCACCCTATCTGACCTGGAGAAGATGAAAGGATGCTTTTCATTTTGTGGTTCAAAATCAGCCTCTGCTTATACTAACCATGCCTCAGAAATAATTGTCAATAAAGAAAATAATGAGAGAACCTCAGATTATATCCAAAGTTTGACTGCAAGAAGGAAGGGGAAGGAAGGGAAGAGAAAGGATGGGATGAGATGGGCAGAAAAACAAAAACTTGAGAAAAAAATATTAGAAACTTTCCAGATGAATGTAAAAATGTTCCTGAGTTACCCCAAAAAAGCAAAATAACTTAGGTCATTTAATTAGAATTAACACACCAGAAAAGGTCCAGGGTTTGATGTAGGTGATCATAGTTATGCAGATGTTTTGTGACTGGGCTGGCTCATGAGTTTTCTCCAGAAGGTCCCAGATATCGATGTATCCATCTTCTCGGCCAATATAGAAAACTCCAGGCCTTGTCAGGGACCAGTGGCCTGCGGTATACTTTTTTGGTGCACAGGATGACTGAAGGAGGGGTCCGGTCTTTAAACAAATTTTAAAAGAACATGTGAAAACTATTATTGGAGGTGTATTCACAATGATTTTGTGTAAGTACAACTCAGATGGCTGTGATCGTGGAACAGCATAATTATGCCCACTCTGAAGCTTGATTCTTTTTCTTGTAGGATTTTATATAATGCTAACCCTTTTCTTTCCTGTGTGTTTTTTTATAACATTTTTTTCTTATTTTAGTTGCTTTTTAGAAAGGATCAAATCATGCAGTCGAGCTGGAGATTGGTGGATGTTAGAGAAGGTAAGATTATAAGGAAATTTTTCGCTATACCTTTATTTTGCTGACATATATCTATTTCCCATGGAGACAACTCTGGTAGCCACGAAAAAAGCAAATAAAAAGTCAATTCCAGCTGTGAGCTGCATCCAATGGCTTATAAATATTGTTTGGAAGAGATTTTAGACCAGCAAAGCATGACAAGATCATCTTCTCTTTTCTTTACCATGGGGTAATTTGCCCTCTTTGGGAGGTTTTCATAGACAGAAAAGATCAGAATGTGCTTTCTTACTGTCATGTTCCAACCTGACAATGAGGTGTTCTCATTTATCTACTTATATCTGCAGAAATTGAACTAAACTGTGGAGCTGTTTCCTACCCTCTGAGACATGCATAAGAAACTTCCCTGTGGGGAACAAAGATTCATGGACTCCTTATCCTGTTCTTACCCACCTTGCCCAGCTTCTTCCATTTCTGTGGATAACCAGGTACTTGAGCCCTAGATAGTCTATGGACATTCTTGCCTAATTTTCTTTTTCTTTAACAACAAAACTGATACCTACTCACTGTAAAAAAAAAAATTGAACATACAGAAGTACATTGGTATAAAGTAGACGTCCTTTTGTGGATGGGTACTTTAAGTACTTTCCAGTTGTTTCAATGACAAGCTCATATACATATTCACACAAATATTTGTGTCAGAGTCTCAGAAGTGAAAGTGCTAGGTCAAAGAATATATATATATGTATATGTATATTTTTATCACTTTATTTAAATAATATATAGTTTTTATTAAAGAATATATGTATATGTTTATTCATTTTATCCAAAGAATTCATATATATGTTATATGTATATATAAATATACACATTATATATTATTTTTTCAAAGAATATATGTATCAGAGCTATGAAGGAGACTTAGGAATTATATTTCAGATTTTGATAATCTTAAATTGCACACCAATGGGACCTGTCATGATGATTTCCCCACACCCTTACTATACTGGGTTATTTATTTATTTGTTTGTTTGTTTAGAGATTTTATTTATTCATGGGAGACACAGAGAGAGAGTCAGAGACACAGGCAGAGGGAGAAGCAGGCTCCATGCAGGGAGCCCGATATGGGAATCCATCCCAGGTCTCAGGATCAGGCCCTGGACTGAAGGCAGTGCTAAACTGCTGAGCCACCCGGGCTGCCCACTTTACTGGATTTTAATAGTCTTCCAGTTTTTGGCAGTTTAGTTTCTATTTGCCTGGAATCAGGCCCTCTCCTAATTCTGACAAACAGAGTTCTGGCACTGCCTCACTGCGGTCCATGCATGTCTCTGGTCTCCCGGTAATGGACCCCTTAGCCTTCTTATTTCCACTTTCTGAATCTGTGGACACATTCCTGGTGCAGAAGCAAAGGTGACAGACCCAGTGTTTCTCCTTGGACTTCATACAGTAACTAGCATCCTATCGTGTATTTTAAGGGGAGGGAAAAAACATAAAGCAAATCAACTGCCCACTACGCATTTTGAAGAGAAGACTGTTAGGTCTTAGAGAAGAAACATGTAAATATTGTTTCCTTCCCTCAGGAAAGAAAGGCAAATGGTATGTTTTCAAAAGGCTTACAGTGGTTCTGCAGACAAGTTGGAACCCAGGCCATCTGTTCTAATTTCTCTAAAAAGTGTCCCCGAGGCACTGTTATGTCAGAACAGTCTGTTATTCCCATTGTCTTTCTCAGTAACAAAGGACCACACACCCACTCCTCCATTTATCAGGCGACTTACCGTAACACCTTCTTTCCAGATGGCCACATTCCATCCCCCAATGGTGAGGACAATGTCCTTGTAAAAAGGTGACCTCTGAACAGTGTGGACAGCTCCATCATGGACAGTGTAGAGGTTCACTGGCTTTTTTGCTGTTGGAATGGAAAAGATCATTTCATCTTTAATAATAGTGTTTACATTCCTGCATGAAGAATGGGCAGACTTCCAGTGGACAGTCAGGTCCTAATTAATGGGATCTAAGTGTAGACAATAAGAGGTCAGTTGGGGTAAATGGATCTGTCAAGGGACTGCTCTTCCTCTTTTTATGAGAAGTCCAGGGGATTTTCATCAAGTCCATTTTTCCAGCTCAAAGGAATACTTCATGTTCTTATTCAGTTACTTATTCTTTAACTCGGTTGGTCAAAAAATATTTGTGGATTACCCCTATGTACCTATAGGTACTGTAGATGATGAGTAAACAATGGTTAATAAATGAACATGATCCTGCCCTTATGGAGCTTACAGTCTAATGGGAAAGACAGATACTCAATAAAGAATATCCAATATCCAATAAACAAATCCCAACGTACATAATAAAAAATGTTAAATGTGTTATGGTAGGAAAAAAATTATATCCATAATTTAGACCGAATGGTCAGGAAAGTCTTCTCTGAAGATGAGTCATATAGTTCTTGGTAGCATTTTGGTATGGGAAGATTTTAATGTGGAAGAGTATTCCAGATAGAACAACACACACCAAACTCCTGTGGGGAGAAGTGCTTAGTGCCTTTATAGATTTGAGGAAGACCAAAGTCTGGTAATCCCAGCATGAGGCATATGAAACAAATGGGGACCAGGGGGGGTCCAGATACACAGGCCCTTGTAGGAAAGGATTTTAAATTATATTCTACACATGATGTGTTTCCATGAGTCCTTTAGGCCCAGAAGACAATCTGATTCCTAAAGATTCTCTGACTGCTGTGAAGAGAATGAGTTCAAGACAGGTAAAAGAAAAGAAGGGACACTGTAGGAGGTAGTTCTGGTGAGAGAGCATGGTAACTTGTTTGAAGGTACAATGGACAAAAGTAGATGATCGAGAAGTATTTGCAAGCTGGAATTGACAAGACTAACAGATGCCTTCAACAGGAGGGCTGAGAATGATAGGAGCAACTGACTCCATGAAGTTTCCATTTATTGCAACTGGGAAGACTAGGGGGAGGCAGATTTGGGTGTTAAGATCAAGAGCTCTCCTTAGTCTCTGCTCCGGGTCTCGAGTCCTCCTTTTCCTTAGGCTTTCTACCCTTAGGTCTTCTCTCCCCGAGACATGACTGCAGGGCTGGCTGCTCCCTACTCCTTGCTGCCCACACCCACCTTAGGGATGGCCATAAAGATATGTCCTATCTAGGTCAAACCATATGTCTGGCTACCTTATACCCAAACCATGAACTTATTGTGAATTCCGTCATAATGATAGCTGTGTAAAAGTTGGATTGTTTTTCCCTCTTAGAATCCCAATGAGACATTAAGCAGAAAAAAAAAAAAAAACACCTACTAAACCTTGCAGATAGCTCCTAAAGTAGAGTTTCAAAGAGATATTTGTCCACCCATATTCACAGCAGCATTATTTGGAAGCAACCCAAGTGTTTATCAATCAAAGAGGGAATAAGCAAAATGTGATATATACATACAATGGAATATTATTCATCCTTTGAAAGGAAGAAAATTCTGACAAATTCTACAACATGGGTGAAACCTGAGGATATGATGTTAAGGCAGAGAAGTCCATCACAAGAAAACAAATACTGTATGATTCCACTTATATGACATATCTACAGTAGTCACATTCATAGAGATAGAAAGTAAATGGTGGTTGCCAGATGCTGAGAGGAGAGTGGAACAGGGAGCTATTGTTAAATGGGTGCAGAGTTTCAGTTTTGCAAAATGGACACCATCCTGGAGATGGGTTGTACAACAATGCAAATGTACTTAATTGTATTGAATTATACACTTAAAAAATGGTTAAGATGGTAAAATTTACATTTATGTATATTTTATCACAATTTAAAATTTTATGAAAAGTAAAAATAAAAAATTTAAAGGTAGCTTTTCTGGATTTAAAAAAAAAAAGACCAATTTCCTCCAATTAGGCCCATCCTGAAGATAGCAGAGGAGACATACTTCTAAGGCCATCTTGAAGCAATCTGGAAGATTCTTGGGAAGTCAGGAAAACCCTGGAAACTAGCAGCTATCTTCTTGTTGCTGCTCTTGTTTCTCAGAGCCTCGTTTTATCTTCCCAGAGTGGGGATTCCCCAGATACCACCTCACTCTGGGCAGCAGGGCCATCCATGAGTCTGGAAGCCTTCTGCAAATGTGATGATTACCAATTATAGCAAGATTGACAATTACCAAAATTTGTACTTTACAGTAACATGTTAAATATTCTCAACCCATATCTTTTCCTTTCCTTTGCCCTTTTAAGGACATCTAGCAATGAATAGAGCTGTCCTTAAGTTATTAAACAGAGTACCAGAGGCACCAGGCCAAGTTGCCATGAGAAAGTTACAATAAACAAAGTAGTTTCCAGAATGATTATCTAATGCAGGATTCAGTATAGTGATGTGATTAAGAGCACAGACTGCCTAGGTTAAAACCCTGGCAATGCTGGTAGCTACCCCCTAGGGTTGCCATGAGGATTGAATGAGCTAATCCATGGAAAGTACTTGGAAGAGTGCATGACACATGGCATATGCCGATCTGTGAGTAGAATACATGAAATAATTATGTCAATTGTCATCACTCAGCCTTCATTTCTTGGCTTGTCACTTAGATCATCTGGAAATTTTGTTTGATTTGGCCTTATCACATGTATCTCATTCATGGTAATCTGAATTTTCTTAGAAGAGGAAATTCTTCCTCCTGCCTTGTTGTTAATAAGAACATGGGGTCCCTAGGAAATCAAGAAGGATTGGGTCCCAATAATCACCTCATCTTTACTCAGGTATACTTCATGGTGTTTGTGAAAAACATTAGACTGGGAGCTCTCAGGGAAAACACTGCCAGTTCATGGATGTAATTAGGGCCAGCAGTGCATAGGTTAGAGGGTCTAAACATGGACTTCTCTGAACTTCAACCATTATCCAATGGGAATAACAGTGTTGTTTGGGTTTCCGTATTACAAAATGTTTGATTGATGATTTTAAAGTATTTTAAAGTATTATGATGATTTTAAAGTATCCTTTTAGTAAGCGGTTAAAGCTATTTCTCCCCCCCCCCCTTTTTTTTTTGCAATGAACTAAATGCCAAGAAATTAAAAGCAGCTCTTATCCATCCATACTAAGCTACATCCCATTGGTCATAAAGTCTGGGCATGTTGACTGCTAAGTCTCACTCCTATTTCCTCTGCTGTACATCCTTGTTACCATGGCTATACTCAGTCCTCTCCATTTCTCATCTAAACTATTGTAAGTGGTCAACCTACTTCCATTGTAAGTCCCACCAGTAAATTCATCCAGCCCCTGCTCTCCTGCCAGAGTGATATTCTGATTATACTGGTGGGACTAGAATAAGGTTCAAAGCTTAGTAGGCACTCAAGGCTCTTAGCCATCTGGACCCAATTATCCTTCCTGGGACCTCTCCTGCTGCCCTCTCTATTGATATTTTGGCTAAGGGATCTCCCTGTTTCTTAATTGTCTACTGCTGTTTGGGGTTTCCATGATTTTGCATGTATTACTTCTTCCACCTGATAGGTCTTTCTCCAATCAGAAAATTGCAATCCACTCTTCAAGACCCAGCTCAACTATATCTCTCTTCAATAGGGCCCTTTCTTACTAACTTAAGAGAGTTGGTCCCTTCCTGGTTTCCTATGTCACTTTGTATTTGCCTCTAGCCATAGCACTAATGACAATGTAATGTTATCATTTGTTTCTGTGTTTGACTTTTCTAATAAATAATGGAATTCCTTTGGGGGAGAATAATACCTTGTTTATCTTTATATCCCCAGTGCCTGGCACAGAACAGATTCTCAATAATGATGAATGAATGAAAATAAGAAAGAAAGAACAAGGGGTGCCTGAGTGGCTTAGTCAGTTAAGCATCCGACTCTTGATTTTGGCTCAGATTCATGATCTCAGGGTCTTGAGATCAAGTCCGATGTTGGGCTCCACTGTCATTCTGTCTCTCTCTCTCTCTCAAAAAAAAAAAAAGCACAAACAACATTAGTGAGTTTCAAACATAAAGCTCTTGGTTTTTATGTTTGTTGTCATTGGTTATTCTATAAATGGAATAAAATTTAAAATAAATAACTAAATCTGTGTGTCAGGGTCTGCCTCAAAAGCAGTTTAGGAAGCTAGTTCCATAGTAAGGCCCCAAGAAAATTTCTGAGACCAGGAAGAACCAGAGTTTACCAATGCATAACAAAGTCATGGCATCACAGTCTCAACTTGTGTCCCAGTGGTATAGTGGAGACAGCTGCCGTGTGCATGCAGTACATGCAAAATTAATACTCATGAATTATTGAATAAACAGAAATGTGAATAATCATAAAAGTAGCTGGATGTATTTCACTATCTCCAGTATATAATTTTGAGTTCAACTTTTAAATCATGGAATTTGAAATGAATGAAAAGCAGAAAATCAGTTTCAGGTCTGCAATCACCAGATGAATCTTATTAAAAATCCAGATTCAGATTCAGCAGGCCTGGGGTAGGGTCCAGCACTCTGCATCTCCCACGGGCTCTCTGAGGTCCAAGGGCCTCACTTTGAATGAGAAGCGCAGACACAAGACCTTATATGCCCTGCCCTCTCAGCAGCAAGACCTGGGTTACTCAGCGCTTCAGAAAAATGAGTAACTCATAACAGAGCAATCTTCAAAACTTACCCATCAACCGGCCAGTTTCAGAGTCTCTTTCCATTTTCCAATCTGTGTATATCACCCCACCTTCCTAAAAACAGTACAGGTTTCTGATGAGTACAGCGAGTTCTTAAGGGAATGAAGATCTCATGTGCATGTACTAAAGCTGACTGTGCCTCACACAAGCCCAAAGTGACAGGTTAACTCAATGCAGTGATAACTTGATATGGTTAGGGGGGCGGGGAGGCTCAAAACGATTACTTAATTTTTATATTAAACAGCAACAAAAAATGAACTTACCAAATTTTTATCCCCACAGAATGCTGTGGAAAACACAAGCATTTATGAAGATAATCTATGGACACAAGTTCTCACTTCTGGGTTTCTCAAGTTTTTGTTAATAGGGGAACTGTCCTAACAGACCGAAAGCTCCAAGAAGGGATCTGGTCTGACTTCTTCAGTGATTTGTCCTCAGTATGATACAAAGTCAGTAGTTAAAAATATTTGTCGAGTAAGAGGGAAAGGAGGAATGTAAATTGATAATATGGCACCATTATCTTTAAAGTTGAGGACAGGAAACAAAGTTCCATTTAAATAATATAGCTAATAATATATGTTTCTGCTCTGCTTATGGCCATTTTAAGGAGGGGGGAAGGCAGAGAGACCTGGTGTAATACAGGGGCAGAAACAGCAGCCAAAGGGAAAAGACACGGAACCTGTGAATAGCGGAGGTGGGAGAGGTTTCGAGAAAATCTTTAGTCCAAAGGCCCTGCTTATAGAAGGAACCTGGAGACTCGGAAAGGTTTAGTGACTCAGGGTCACCCAGATGCAGTCTCCTAATTCCAATGTTTTTCTCTCTGGGTAGTAAAAGCAAAACTCAGAGGTGGATGTATAAAAAGAGTTGTTGAGAGGAACTGAAGGACGGCTTGAGATGTGTAGAAGAAAGGACAGGAGAAAGCATTTGCTATGCAAAGTGAAGGATGAGCTCACTGTGGGGGGGGGTGGAGGGGGTGGCACTCATTCACTCATCTGTGCTTTTATCCATTAATTCACATAACAAACAAGGACTGTGTTTGGTGTTTGCAGTTCAGCATCAGAAGACGAGCCCTCTCTCCACTTGTGGTGTCCAGAGTCTGAGGGAGCAGACAGGCCAGCCCGCGGCCAGTGTGCGCACACCTCTCCCGTGGCCTGTGGCACCTCACCCCCCTCACCACTGCCTGAGCACAGCATTTGTTGCTGTGGTTAGGACTTTTCTGTACGTGAGCCAGCCCTTGCCAGAGTCCTGTAAGAGTCATTAATATCTCCTTGGTCTCACAACTGATACATGTAACACTTAACAGAGCCAAGTCAAAGAGGAGAAGCTTGAACCAGGTTAATAAATACATGTTGAGTGCCCATTCTATCTGTAGCCAGCTGGCTGGGAACCTTCACGTCCTTCTCCATCCAGTTACCTGGTGCGGAGAACTCGACTCTTCTCCCCTGTGTGGACATTCCTGGCCCCACTGCTCACGCCCTCTTCATCTCAGGGTTGGCTCACTTAAAATCACTGCTTGTCTAGCCTGTCTGCCTTTCTGGCACTAGCCAATCTAGATCCCAGAGCAGTCTCCCTTATTCTCTCTCGATGGAGCAGCCATGTCAAGTGTTGGTAGAAGAGCATTCCACTGGAATGTCAGCCCATGAGGTTTGGGAATTTTGTCTGTTTGTTCACTGCTATATTCCCTGGGCCAAGAACAGTGTCTGGCATAGGGTAAATGCTCAATAAATAGCTGCTGAATGATAGATGAAGTTAATTCTAAGGAGGGTAAAAGCTCGAAAGTCAGGAAAGAGTTTGGTGTAGAAAAAGAAAGAGAAAAATCAGAGCAACTGGAGGTAGAGAAGGAGATTGGTACAGATGGGGGTGTAGAGATATAAAACAGCCAAATTATGCAGAATCTTATAGGCCACAGTGTAAAGAGTTTCAATTTTATTCACATTTAACTGAGTAAAGAGTTTCGATTTTATTCACAGTTGACTGAATTGTCATTGAAGAGTTTAGCAGAGTGTCATACTTTAATTTCTGTTTTAAGATCTTATGATCATTCATCTTTCTAAAGCTGTCACCCCCTGCTTTCAAAACTTGTGTCAAAGAAACAAATATTACATGATTCTACTTACATAAGGGGCCTAGAGCAGTCAAATTCATAGAGACAGAGAGTAGAATGGTTGCCATGGGCTGGGGGCTGGAGGGAACGGTGAATTATTGTTTTAATGGCTACAGAATTTCAGTTTGGAGATATCTAGAGAGAGATGGCTGTGAGTGTTGCTCAACCATATGAAATGTGTCTAATAGCATTGAATTATACACTTCAAATTTGTTAAGGTGGAACTTGTTATATTTTTCCAAAATTAAAAAAATATTAGAAGCCCAAGTTATAAAAAATTGAAAGCCCAAGTTATAAAACAAGTATCTGTTTGGTAAATGCCTCATTGTCTACCAAATGTAATTCAAATTCCCTAATGTGGCAGAAAAGGCTCTTTGGTTGGATCCCAACCTAGCAGTCAAGGTATAGCATCCCCTCTTGCCCAAATGATTCCACTATCTGCAGACAAATCCCAGGCTTCTGTAATTCCAAAGCATTGTTCAGGCTGTTACTTCTGCTGGGAATTGTACTCTGATCTTTCAGATGCTTCCTCAACCTCCAAAGTCCAGCCAACTAACAGTCTGCCTCCCCCCAACCTCCCCTCTCTCATCCCTGTGGCTTCTGGATGGGCACTGACATGGATAACGTTGTTAATGTTTCTGCTCCTTAACTAGGCAGAGGGTGCCCTGAGAACAGGGACTGTGCTGTTGATTCATGTCTCATCTAAGGCCTAGTGCTGTGCCTGGTGGGCAGTATGCTCTTGAGAACTGCTGTAATCAACTAATACCCTCATAATACTAAAGTGTCAGCGCAGAGTGCATTCCAGTGAGACCAAGCTATGGTGTCTTCCCATGGTGGCATGGCTTGGAGGGGAAACCCTTTATTTCAGGGAAATAGAGTCATGAATGAAAAGGACATTTCTGTTTCTTTATGACCATAGATAAAGTTCTGAGCCTTATTTCTTCGTTGGCAAAGCGAAATTTAATCCCTACAAGATTATTAGGATTAGATGAGATATAATTTGGAACAAATACTGGCATAGACCCTACTATATAGAAAATGTTGAATAAATGGAAGCTCACTTTGGTTATTATAGTTGGTGCCAAAAAATGACAGCCATTATTATTATATCCAGTTGTTACTTTTGAATTGAGTGAGTTTTGCACTGTCTCTCCTGCTACATTTTGCTAGCTAACAAAGCAATATATTTTCTTAGTAGATCTATAATACTTAGCAAGGTTTCTTCTATATGGTATAGGTGTTCAATAAATATTTTTAGGTTGGCCAATAAATCATTAGTAAAGAGGGTCATACTGAATTTTATAGATTTTTTTCACATTCATCAGGAACATTTTGAATATGAATCTATGAACTATCAAGATTAAAAAATTCAATGCAAACAAGTATACTAAAATATGGGAGTGGTATAAATATTATGAACCTTAATAAGGCAAATGTATAGTAGAGGTTGTAATGAATCAGAATAGAAAAGTGGTGGGATGGGGGTGTGGGAGAGCAGAAATAGGAAAAGGCTAGGGGAAGGGTACAGAGTTCTGAGGATATGATATAAAACATGGTAACTACAGTATAACACCATATTGCATAATTGAAATTTGCTAAGCGAGTATGACTTAAATGTTATCATACACACAGGCACAAAGATAAACGTGTGAGGTAATGGATGTGTTAATTAATTAGATGAAGGGAAGCCTTTCACAATGTATACATACATGAAATCACCACGATGTACACTTAAATATCTTACAATTTTCTATGTCAATTATGTTTCAATAAAACTGAAATTAAGAATATATATAACAAAGACTATATATATTCATATATATAATGTATATATAAAAGAGCAGATAATTCTGACTCACCTCTGTTCCCACAAAGAATTTTGTGCAGAAGTCCTCTATTGGCTTGAGATGATTGGCCAACCCACCTTCCAGATTGTAGTACGGGTTCATCTCTCCTGCCTTCACTGTTTTGCTCTGGGCTAATAATACTTTGTCTTTCAGAGGAGTATGAATAGAAGAAACACATATTTACAGTAAAAGACATTTTAAAATATGGTTAGTTTATATTTTTTGTCCCTTGCTACATACCTCTGCCCTATTTTCTCTCCAGTGTGGCAGGCATAAGTATAAACATCTTTAAACTTCTAATTTAGCAGCTAGAACACTCTTTCAAACCAAAGCATATGCAGGAACCCTTGCATGTAAAACTGATCAAAATCTTCATTGCTGTGATTAAAGTGTTTCCTGGTGGGAAGAGGGAAGACCCCTCTACCTACTTTCAGGGGCTCCATTTTTTAAAAAAGATTTCATTTATTTGAGAGAAAGAGAGAGAGGGAGAGTATAGGGGGAGAGTGAGAAGCAGACTCCCCCCTGGGCAGAGAGCCTGACATGGGACACAGAGAACATGACCTGAGCCAAAGAGAACATGACCTGAGCCAAAGACAGATACTTAACCGACTGAGCCACCCAGGTGCCCTCAATTAGGTAATTTAGCTTTCTATCCTGCTTTTCTGTTCTCTTAAAGATATTATCTTGGGCATGTTCCTAGGTCACTTATTAGTTATAAAAAATGTGATAAATTTCTGGGAAAGATAGAGAAATATACGCTCATCTAACCCTACTCACCACATTTCAATATATCATCATCTAGGTTATATCACCCAAGGGAAAACAAACAAATGAACATAAAAAATAACCAGCAATGGGCAGTTTGGGTGGCTCAGTGGTTTAGCACCGCCTTCAGCCCAGGGCGTGATCCTGGAGACCCGGGATTGGGTCCTGCATCGGGCTCCCTGCATGGAGCCTGCTTCTCCCTCTGCCTGTGTCTCTGCCTCTCTCTCTCTCTCTGTGTGTCTCTCATGAATAAATAAATAAAATCTTAAAAAAAAAACAACAACCAGCAAACATTAAATGAAAACTAAAATAGAAAAATATCTCAGCTATACTAAAAATATACATTCTATTTTTAAAAACACAGCATAATTCTGGACAAAAGTAAAAAACAATTATGATTTCATTGGTACAATCAACTAATGCTTCCTTTATTAGAGATATACATGCTTTGGACAGTCTCCTTTCCCAATAGATAGGACATCAAAAACAAGTTTTGAAGTAAGCCAAACATTCATGTTTGGCTTTTATTTTTTATTATTATTATTTTTTAAAGATTTTACTTATTCATTCATGAGAGACACACAGAGAGAGAGAGAGAGAGAGAGAGCAGAGACATAGGCAGAGGGAGAAGCAGGCTCCATGCAGGGAGCCTGACGTGGGACTCGACCCCGGGACTCCAGGATCACGCCCTGGGCCAAAAGCAGGGGCTAAACTGCTGAGCCACCCAGGGATCCCTGAAGCCAGACTTTTAAATAGCTGTATTACAAACTATCAGTCAACATTTCAAGAAATAACTAGGTATATTTAATCTCATTGTTCTTACTAAAAGATATTATTCATAATATACTTAACAAGAGCAAAAAGGCCTTTTGTATTCATTTAATATATAAAAATATTAAAATATTTATGTCAAATTCTTCACTCTCATTTCAATGTCTATTTTCTCTTTTTAAATAATATACATTAATATATTAATATTAGTAGAGTAGAACACATATATAATTTATAGATAAATACACGCTCATTTGGAATGTGTTGCTCAAAAATGTTTCCTGATGGGTACAAGATGGAAAAATTTAGAGCCCTCTGGTCTAATAAGGGGAGCCATGAGCCTGATCCAGGGGTCGGTCCTGGTAAGCAAAGGAAGAGGCAAATGTGAGATGCACTGTAAAGGAAGACATAGTTATCCTAAGTGAGAGACTGGATGTAGGGACCTGAGGAGAGAGACAGAGACGACTCAAGCTCTGTTCTGGACACACTGACATTGAGGGAAGAGATTGGGTTCAAACCCAGGAGATAGAGAGAGGCGAGGTGGAGCATTCTCAGCAGAGTAAGAGTGGACCAAGTTACTGAAAGGGGTAATAAGGAAAGCACACTGCTGAGGTAAGAGTTTGAGATACATTCGTGATAAGAGGGCACCATGGAAAGACCAAGGAGAAAAACTGAAGAAGTATCAGGAAAACTACAAAAGCCAAGGCAGGAGCTCTGAGAAAAGGGTTTAATGTGGTGGAGTTAAAGAGAATGAGGCCAGAGAAAAATGTGATTGTCTACTGTGTTTATTCAGACTTGACTGAGATAACTGGCATATTTATTAAATTCAGCCTCATCCTCATGAATTTTCCATTCATGATTTCCATCTCAAGGGCCTGAGTTACATAATAATAGGAGCTAACACTTACTGAGTGCTTACTGCTTGACTACACGCCAGGGACTGAACTGTATGCTCCACATGCACCCTTTCTTTCACTCAATCCTCACAGTAACTCCTCACTAATTCTCCTTCCAGGATGATAAAGGAGACTCAGAGAGATTAAGTAGCTTGCCCGAGTTCTCACATAAGGTGGCTTACATTTATTGTGAGTTGACAAAGAGCTGTTCTTCAAGCTGTATATATATTAACTCATTTTATCTTCACAGTTTTCCATGAGGTAGTTACCTTCATTATTTACTTCCCTTATCTTCACCTCCCTCTTTCCAAACAGGTTTATTAAAAACAAAAAGAAAAAAAGAGGAAGGCACAGAGAGGTATAGTAATTTGACCTGGTCAAATAATAAATGGTGGCCTTGGGATTTAAACCCAAACTCCAGAATCCACATCCTTAACTACTATGCCGCAGTGCTCAGAAGAATTTAACTAAGGGTCTGAAGCAATTCCAAAATAGGAATTCCAAAAACATTTAGAGCAAAGTCTCCCTCAGCAGAGTAAACAAAAAGGACATCCGAAGGTGAGCGCTCAGCAGGGCATGGAGTATTGCAGATCTAAGGTGGCAGGTGAAAGCCACGCGGCCTAGAGCCACTAGGTGGCAACACAGCACCAGACAGTGTATCATATGGTAGGTGTCTGGATCCACCAGACAGTGGGCTGGAGAGCATTCTCAATGGAACAGTGTGAACTTGGATTCTTGATGGAAGGTCGAAGGAGAACCAAGCATAGGGTCAATACACAAAATGTGGTCAAGAAGCATATGAGTGTATTCTAGTCAATAGGTTCAAGTCTGGCGAGAGTAAGTGGATGGCTGGCAGTGTGTCCTAAGGAGATGCAAAATATCGTAATGAGATCTCAAATAAAGTTCTAAGAGTTTGCCATCTACACGAGAGGAGGTCATGACCAAAGTAACTGCCTTTAGTTATGAGAGGCATGTGTTAGCAAGATCCTTTGAGATTACTAACTGAAATTTAATTTTCTCCAGGACTCACGATACTGCCTGCAACAAAGACTTCTGAACACACGTAAAGGGACATGGTCAACTACAGTCACAGCTGAGAATCTAAAAAAGTAATCTATCCATTCTCTTTATGAACCGATTTAGCCAAATATACCTTTCTCCAAGAAAGATTCACAAAATGACTTCATCTGGAAAGAGGACATTCATTTGATGGAGAGTATTCTTGTTTGATGACATTTGAGTCATGCTTCAAGATTCATTTTAGATAGGTCCTTCCTTAAGTGGATATAGATATATACCTATCATACTAAAAGGTAAGCTCCACAGGAGCAGGGAATTATCTTTTCATAGCTGTATCCTCAGAGGCCTAGTACTTTGCAAGATTTTAATATGTGTTTGGAATAAATGCAGATATAAGTATAGAGATAAAAATTGTTCTTTAAAAAAATTAAGGGATTACAATTACTAAATCCACAATCAAGTGGAGTTTATCTCAGGAATGCAGGGCTAGTTTAACATTCAGATATTAATCAAAGTAATTCACCAAATTTATAAGTTTAAAAAGAAAAAAAAGCATATGATTATCTCCAAAAATGCAGAAAAATCTTTTGACAAAATCCAATATTAATGGGTGTATAAAAGGGAACTTCTTGAGGGCACCTGGGTGGCTCAGTGGTTGAGCGTCTGCCTTTGGCTCAGGTCGTGATCCTGGGGTCCTGGGATCGAGTCCCACATCGGGCTTGCCACAGGGAGCCTGCGTCTCCCTTTGCCTATGTCTCTGCCTCTCTCTGTGTGTCTCTCATGAATAAATAATAAAATCTTAAAAAAAAAAAAAGGAACTTCTTCAACCTGATAAAGGATTCTGTGAAAACCCAACAGCTAACATCATACTTAATGGGTTAAAGACTAAATGCTTTCTCCCTAAGATCTGGAATAAAGCAAGAATGCTCTCTAATCACTTTGACATCCTGAGGGTTCTAGCCAATGTAATCAGCTAAAAAAAATCATATAGATCAGAAAAGAAGAAGTAAAACTGTCCTTATTTACAGATGACATTATTATCTACATAGAGAACCCAAAGGACATTATCATCTATTATAGAAAACCCTAATCAATCTACAAATAAGCCACTATAATGTGATTTTAGGAAGATTGCAGGATACAAAATCAATACAAAGAATCAATTCTCTTTATACACTGGTAACGAACAATCAAATTAAAAATGTGCAAGTACCATTTACTAGAGCACCAAAAAAATGTGAAAGAGCTAGAGACAAATATGTCAAAAGAAGCGAAAGAACTTTACACTAAAAACTATAAAACAAAACAAAACAACAACAAAAAACTATAAAACATCACTGAAAAATTAATGACCTAAGTTGATGAGGAGATGTACTAATGAGTTGAAAGACTATATTGCAGACACCAAATTCTTAGAGTACTGATTTACAGATTGAACACAATTCCAATCAAAGTCAGAGCAGGCTTATGCAAGACAAAATACAAAATTCATATGGGAAAGCAAAAAACCTAGAATGGTCAAAAACCACTTTAAAAAAGAAAAAAGTTGAAGGACTAGCACCGATTTCAAGACTAATTACAAAGCTACAGTAATCAAGATGCTGTGCTATTGGTGGAAAGACAGACACGTAGATCAATAGAACAAAACTGAGTTCAGAAATGGACTCACACATACTTGGACAAGTGATTTTTGACAAAGGTACAAAAGCAATCTGGTGGATAAAGGATAGTATCTTCAACAACTGATGCTGGAATATCACACACAAATGAACTCTGATCCATAATTTGTGCATAGGAAAAAACATCTCAATAAAGATCATAAACTTAGTTATAAAACTATAAAACTCCTAGAAAAAAAAAATCCCAACCTTCGGTTAAATTCAAAACCAAAATCGTGACCCACAAAAGAACAAACTGATACTCAAAAATTGAAAACGTCTGCTTTTCAAAAGGCAGGGTTAGGAGAATAACACAATATTTTAACAGAATGTAAATCACAGACTGGGAGAAAATATTTGCAAGTCACATACCTGATAAAGGACTAGTATGCAGAATTTGTTAAGAGCTCTGAAAACTCAATTATAAGAAAACAATGGAAGTAAAAAATGGGTAAAAGATATGGACATTTCACCAAAAAAGATATATATGGCAAAAAATGCATGCAAATATGCTCAACATCTTTAGTCATTAGGTAAATGTAAATGAGATATCACCACACCTATTTTAGAATGGTTAAATTGAAAAGACCAGCCATACCATCTGTTCATTACATTGTTGGAATGTAAAATGGTATAAACACTTTGTAAAACACTTTGGTGATTTCTTTTCTTTTCTTTTCTTTTTTTATTGGCGTTCAATTTGCCAACATATAGCATAACACCAAGTACTCATCCCATCAAGTGCTTTGGCAATTTCTTAAACATACACCTGCCATATGATCTAATTATCCCATTCCTAAGTATTTATCCAAGCAAATAAAAGCTTATGTACATACAAAGCCATGTATATGTGTATGTATATGTAATAGGGCTGTGCTGAAAACAGTATTACGTTTTATTGTATGTCATTTATACCTCAATAAACTTAAAAGTGAATACAGAAAAAGCCACACTTTTAAAAGATATGATATCCTTACTATCAATTGGATAAAGACAGTAACATCCTCATGAGCATCTTTTTTCCATTAATTTAAAAAATAAGAGTAGGGCATTTAATGAATTACTCTTTACAAGTTACATTAACCTCTCTCAGTCTTGGTTTCCTTAATCATAAAATGGTAACAAAAATTCCCAGCTTGCAGGATTGTCATGATCATCTATTTTACTCATCATTACACTCCCAGGGCCTAGCATAAAATAAACACTTTATAAATACTTGGTAAATGAATGAAAGCATGTGCAGTATTAGCTAGCACAGTACCTAATTCATGACTGGAATTCAATGAATTATAGCTGACAGTTGAATATAAAAGAAGTGGAGGAGAGAACTTACTTCCTGGAATGAAGCAGGTCCAAATACATAAAAACATGCAATGTTTTAGTATTACTTAGAAAGGGTCATTAAAAATTTAGTGATTCTTTTTTTTTTTTTAATATGGGGTCTTGGGTTGTATCTATGAGACACACAGCTTCAAAGCAAGTTTTGCCCAAGCAGGGTATTAGATACATATTACATTTTTCCAAGATATTCTATCATTTAACTGAACACTCAACAATTTATAAATGGAAATCCATTTGACAAAGCAAATATTTGGAAAGTACTTCAGTATCTAGTGATACTTGTACATTTTCATTACGCATTGCTCTTGGGGTGGGATATTCATGCACATCTTTATTTTAATAAAGATTTTAATTAATATTTAAAATATTAACTATTTTAATAGTTTTATATGTATGCCCTTCAATTACTTCAACAAAGGTGTAGGGGTTGAGTTGAGATAGATTTAAAAAGCAATTGTTATTTCTCCACTCTGTTTTATCATGGTGTTGTACAAATACTCATTTTCTATTATATTCTGACTAAAAATGGGTAATTCATTTCTAACACTCATGACTTACTTTGCTAGACTCAAGATATGTCCATTCTATAGAATTATTCTTTGAGCATATACAGATTTATTAAGACAACTTTGTAAAAACTTTTTTAATGTATTGAGTTCTCAAAAATATACTTGATACATGTTTATGAAACTAAACTGAATCCCATCATGAAATCTTTGTGTATGTATAGGCAGTTTTAATGTGTTGGCTATACGTTTTGGTTTTGTTTTTGTTTTGAGAGAGAGAAAGAATCTTAAGCAGACTCCATGCCCAGCGCGGAGCCTGAAGCAGGGCTCCACCTCACAACCCTGAGATCATGACCTGAGCCGAAATCAAGAGGCGGATGCTTAACCCATTGAGCCACCCAGGTGTTCCTGTGGTTATAGCCGTTATAAATTTCCATATTGGAGGGTTTGGTTTTCTGTACTGTTTTTACAAATCAGACTATCTTAGAAAAGAACTTACTCTGGACCTAACCAATCACTAATATTTAAACTATTATATGCTATCTTAATAAGCAAAGGCAGTTTACCTTGTGACTTGCAAAGATTGTCTTCACTCAGGCTGAGCTTGGTTGGGCAGTGGTCTAAATTTGTTTCTCCCTTAGACAGCCTTATCTTTTGGGAGAACATATAAGAAAGATTATTTCCATATATTCTGTGGGTGATTTATTCTTGCTTTTTCCTCCCACCCCCAGATGGCTGTTCCCCACCTCCCTCCCCTTGTCCCTTTCCCATTCTCCCTTGGATTGATGGTTGCTTTTCCCCACAGACTGTGCCTAAACCACAGTTTCTAAACCCCTGTGACTAAAAGAAGCCTGCTCAGGGGCTCATTTCTAAATCCTTTTTTTTTTTTAATTTATTTATTTATGATAGTCACACAGAGAGAGAGAGAGAGAGGCAGAGACACAGGCAGAGGGAGAAGCAGGCTCCAGGGAGAAGCAGGCTCCATGCACCGGGAGCCCGATATGGGATTTGATCCCGGGTCTCCAGGATCACGCCCTGGGCCAAAGGCAGGCGCCAAACCGCTGCGCCACCCAGGGATCCCCTCATTTCTAAATCCTACTCTCGTCTGTTTTTCTACATCTTTCACTTAAAGCTCCAGAAAGTTGTGTGGGGTCTTTTTTCATCTGCAGGCTGACTGCTGAGTCTCCTTGGGGACATACGTGCCCTTGAGTTCCAGAAGTGGCCCCAGATCTGCACCAGAATGGGAAGCTGTGACACTTTCTATTCTTCCCTCACAGCTTCTGCCCCACATTTCTCCATCAGGATATTTGTCCACATGTTTCCAGTTATTCCCGGGTGAGTTTCTGTTTGTTCGTTTCTTTTTTTTTATTTTTTTATTTTTTATTATTTTTATTTTTTTTTACTGGGGAAGGAAGGCAGCTGGGTGTTCGTTTCTTTTTAAGCAATTTACAGCTCAGTAAATCCTACCCCAGGAAATTCCTAATCCTCTAATTTCTAATTTCTAATCTCAGCTACTTCAGGAATATTCTCACCCCTCTGTGCTCTTTCTTCCACTTATAGCAAATACATCATATTGTCATTCTAGTCATACTGGTAAAATAAAGGAAAAAAGTATTCAGTTTGGAATTGGAACTAGCCATTCTAAAAAAAAAAAAAAGGAGTCATCAGTGTTAGAAGCCCATTCATACTTTCCACACATATTCCATCCACAGCCATATCTTCTTAAAGTTGCTTTTCTTCAAAGCTCTGCCTTTCAATAAAAGTACAAATGATTTTCTTTTAACTACTTTCAGTTTTGTTTGGTCATAGGTATCAAAATGCTGTTTCCTACTATGTGCAAAATATGCAGAATTTTGCCTATATTAGGGATTAAAATTAGCTTTCCAGGCTATCTTGAGAGCCTGCTGATTTACAAGCAACTGCTTATGCCAATGAATAATTACTATACAAACCATCAGTAAGTTGTGGTTTGTACATGAACAAATATCAATCTTGAGTTCACAAAAATTGTGATTTCTGGTTTGACCTCGGCAGGCATCATAATAATTCTCAATGAAAGAATTTATTGGTTAAATGAATACATGAATTATAAAGTCCTATGTTAGTTTAAGCTGCTGTACTTCTAGAGTATGTGTATATAAGTATGTAAATGCAAATATATAGTGTATGTAAGCAAGTAGAATGGACTAAATTGCATGTAACTTACCTTAGTGAGAGGTTTCCAGGAGAGATCAAGATGCAGAAATGTAGATGGTACATCAAAAGGTATTTCAATATTTTCTTCTTTCTTTTTCTCTACTGATTGTGGGGTTAAAGCTTTCTGTGGTCTGATATCCCAAAAACATATTGTGCTTTAAAAAAATTCACATTTTATTTAGTACAAGTAAGAGATGAAGGCTTAGGACTACCATACTTTATCCTGCTCCACATTAGCAATGTGATCATGGTTGTATTTTAATGTCTCTGAAACTAAGATTTTTATGAAATGGAGCTGTTTTGCATTTTATATTTTAGAGAATTATATAATTTATAGGGTTATTTGATGACTTTGCTAGTATTAACACTAATAATGTGAGAGCTGAGTTTGGAGATTGACAACATCTTTTTTTAACATAACAACTTTATTAAAATATAACTCATATAGCACAAAATTCACCCATTGAAAGCACACTATTCAGTGGTTCTTAATATACTCACAAAGCTGTGCAACTATCATCACAATCGATTTCACCCAAGAAGAAACCTTGTACAGATTGGTGGTCACCCTTATTGCTCCTCAGCTTGTTCCACTAGCCCTAGACAATAATAATCTACTTCCTATCTGTATAGATTTGTCTACTCTGGACATTTCATATAAATGGAATCAATCTGACAATATGTAGCTTTTTGTGACTAGCTTCCTTCATTTAGCATATTTTCAAAGTTCATGCATGTGGTAGTGTATTTTTTATTTAAGATTTTATTTATTTATTCATAAGAGAAAACACAGAGAGAGGCAGAGACAGAAGGAGAAGCAGGCTCCTCACAGGGAGCCTAGCCTGATGTGGGACTGGGATCCCTGAACTGGGATCACACCCTGAGCCAAAGTCAGATGCTCAACTCCTGAGCCCGCCAGGTGTCCCTATGTGGTAGTGTATATCAGTATATAATTTCTTTGTATTGCCAAATAATATTCCACTATATGGAATCTACCAGTTTATCCATTCATCAGTTGATGGACTATTATAAATAATGCTGCTATGAACATTTGTGTTTAAGTTTTGTGCAGATGCATGGTTTCTTTTAGGTATACATTGAGGAGTGTAATTGCTGGATTGTATGGTAACTTCTGTGATCGATCTTTTGAGGAACTGCTAGATTGTTTTCCAAAGCAACTATGTCTTTTTACATTCCCATCAGCAATGTGTGAGGCTTCCAGTTTCTCTACATCCTTACCAATACTTGCTAATTTTGTCTTTTTTATTATAGCCATCCTAGTGGAGGAAGTTGTGTTCCATCATAATTGAACTAGATTTGCATTTGCCTGTGCTTTGGATATAATATGTAGGAAATCAGTATCTAATCCAAGGTCATGAACACTTATGCTTATATTGGTTTATATTTTCTTCTAAAATTTTCATAGTTTTAAATCTTATATTTAGGTCTTTATTCCATTTCTAGTCAATTTTTGTATACAGTGTGAGGCAAGGGTCCAACTTCATTCTTTTGCTTGCAGGTATCCAGATGTCCCAGTACCATTTGTTGAAAAACTAGTCTTTCTTCATTAAATTGTCTTGGTACCCTTATAGAAAATCAATCATCCATAGACATGTGGGTTTATTTCTGAACTCTATCATTTCTATGTCTATCCTCCCGTCAGTGTCAGTACACCTGTCTCTAGCTGCAATTTGAGATTAGGAAGTGTGAGTCTTCCAACTTTGTTCTTCTTTGTCAAAGTTGTTGCTTTGGCTATTTTAAGTCTCATTGTGGTTTTGATTTGATTTGATTTGATTTAGCTATCAGATTTCCCTGATAGCTAATGTTGAACATCTTTTCATGGGCTTATTGGCCATTTGTATATTTTTTGAAGAAAATGTCTATTGATGATCTTTGCTCATTTTTACATTGGGTTGTCTCCTTATTGTTGAGTTGTAAGAGTTTTTTGTTTGTTTTGGGTTTTTTTTTTGAGTTGTAAGAGTTTTGCATATTCTGGATAGCAATTTCTAACCAGATATATGATTTGCAAATATTTTCTTCCATTCTGTAGACTATTCAATTTTTTGATTGTGCTTTTTGAAGCACAAAAATTTTGATGAATTTCAATTTTTTATTTTATTTTTTTAAGATTTTATTATGTATTAGACAGAGAAAGAGAATACTAACAGGGTAAGTTGCAGAGGAGGAGGAAGAGGCAGGCTCCCTGCTCAGCAGGGACTCGATCCCAAGACCCTGAGATTATGACCTGAGCCGAAGGAGCCATCCAGGTGCCCCCAATTTATTTTTTTCTTTTGTAGCTCGTGTTTTTGGTATCATATACAAGAGACATGACATATAAATATATGTAATATATATTGTAAACATATACTATATAATATAAATATAATACATAATCTAAACATATGTATATTTATAGTGAAAACAAAACCTGCACAGGCAATATTGGATTTAGTGTGCTTTGTACATCGTAAATATCCAGTAAAAGTTATTTCTCCTTACAGGTTGGTTATTGATTATAAAAATAAATAAGAATGTATATGAAAATTCTTTATAAAGCTCCTCACATATATAGAGTATTATTTTGAGTGTAATAAACTTGGTAACACATTTACAGTGATACTTACACATTACACAGTATTTTTAGTATAAAGGTCTTTGTGCTAATTTTGTGAAAACATATGATGAGGTTGGCAAAGAATATGCCATATTAGCCCTACAATTTCTTTCACTGAGATTATGAGTAATCTGATTAATAAACTTAAGATATTATTAAAGAATTTAGATGAGTAAGTTAAAGTATTTAGATAAATGGATAGTAACTCAAATAAGACTAAAAAAACTTTTTTTGTAAAGACTTTATTTATTTATTCATGAGAGACGGAGAGAGGCAGAAACACAGGCAGAGGCAGAAGCAGGCTCCTCACAGGGAGCCCAATGCAGGACTCAATCCCCAAACAGGGATCATGCCCTGAGCCAAAGGCAGACATTCAACCGCTGAGCCACCCAGGCATCCGTAAAACTTTATTCATTTATGTGACTTAATAAATATTAATCATTTATTCATCTTAATAATAAATTCATGAAAGTATTAATCATTTTTATGTTGTTAAAACATAAATCCTGGGGAGAACACCACAAATGACACAAAAAGATCTGTTTTAAACTATAATCATAATTGGTTTAAAATTGTTTTTCTAGAGACGTCTGGGTGGCTCAGCCGTTGAGCATCTGCCTTCAGCTCAAGGTATGATCCTTGGTTAGGAATCAAGTCCCACACTGGCCTCCCCACAGGGAGCCTGCTTCTCCCTCTACCTGTGTCTCTTCCTCTCTCTAGGTGTCTCTCATGAATAGATAAATATAATCTTAAAAAACAAAACAAAACAAAAACTGTTTTTCCAAATAACAAAGATCTTGAATCTCATTTACAGCATTAATTTGCATTATCTATGAAATGATTTTGCTAAATACAGATAACTTCAGTTGAACTTTCTGCATAAATTAGTCACATACTCTTTTTGTGGATTTTAAAAAGTCAATTAATTAACCTTTTAAATTCTAATATAATTAACATACAGTGTTATATTAGTTTCAAGTATGGAAACTAATAGAATTCAACAATTCTGTATGTTATTCAGTGCTCATCATCATAAGTGTACATAACCCTCTTCACCTAGTTCATTTATCCTCCTATCCATCTCCCTTCTGGTAACCACCAGTTTGTTCTCTAGTTAAGAATGGTTTTTTTGTTTGTCTCATTTTTTGTTTTGTTTCTTAAATTCCACATATGAGGGAAATCATATGGTATTTGTCTTTGACTCACTTATTTCACTTAGCATTATACCTTCGAGATCTGTACGTTGAGGTAAATGGCAAGATTTCATTATTTTTTATTGCTGAGTAATATTCCATTGTTTGGTCACATCTTCTTTATCAATAGAAACTTATTTTTATCTTATTCTATATTATAAGACCTTTAGCAGAGCTGAGATAGAAAGACTAGAACTGGTAAGTTTTCCAAATAACTAAAAGTCACCTTTTCTAAATGCATAAACTTTCTTATTTAACAACTTCTGAAAGAATTATTTCCAGAATATTCTAGAATGTTTCCAAATTCAAGGGCCATTGTTATAACCAAAAATCAGAGACATATGTCTTAAATATAATAAAACATATAATATTTTAAGTCTATTCAGTTCTTCTAAATATTTTTCAAGGCTTCTGAAGAAGAGTACAGTTTTGCATTTGGTTGTTTAGAATCAACATCATACCATAAATATTGCTCCATGAAATCACAATTTTCATTGTTGTATAATATTCCATATGGCCCTACTGGTGGTCCTTTTGGGCAATAACTGTCCCCTCCCACCATGTTTTTTTATTTTTTAGCAAGAGCGTTCTAATTGGCTTTTGGAGAGGGGCCCCTTCCCCATTGCATGCAGTCAGGTTGGAACTGTCATTCAAGGTGCTCTGCCCTTTCCTGTGTGGCCAAAGGGGTGAGTTTCTGATGTAACAGGAGTCAGGTTCATTCAGATGGAAGGTGCTGGCCATTTACTCCTGCTATGCAAATCCATGGGGCTGTTTCTGAGGCCTGAGTCAGCTCTGTCTTTGATTTATCAACATCATTACTTACTACCTATACATATATAGGTATATATATATATATATATATATATATATATATATATATCTAGTATATATATGCATATATGTATTTATATACACCCACACACAACTCTCTCTCTACATGTACAATGAGTTATGGGAGGATAAGTTATGGGTACTTGCCTTCAAAGCCTCGTTTTCTCTATCCATAAGTATTTTTCAGAGTTGTTGCAAATATAAAAATAGTTAACCTATTGAAGCACCTAGGAGAGTATTGGCATAAACTTCTAATAAGTTGATTTTATTCCTTTAAGTTAGCCATAGTCAATTTCTGTTGCTTGCAATCACAGAATCTTATCCAATATTTGTCCACAGGATGAATGATGTGTCCTTCACCCCTTGCCCATGGCTCCTATTAATGTTACTTATGCCTTCATCTTCCACTCCATAGCCTTCAGCTTCTATGGACTAAGGTGCCCTTATTCCATTGAGATCAAAACTCTTTGGAACACTCAAGCTTTGCCAGTATTTGAAGACAAGGCAAATAATATTACTCTTCATGTTTCCTACTTCGTTGTGAGTTTTTAGTTCCATAAATTGGGAGATGTAATTTTATTTAAACAAACATTCTTCAACATAGTTACCAACTTGTTTATCAAAAGAATTTTCTATAAATTTGCAATAAAAATGTAAAACTTTTCCACTGTTAAAAAGCCTTCCCAATTAAATGGTGCAATCTTTGTGAGATAAAATTGATGTAAATTTAGTGTGAGAATGTAGAGAAGCAGCATAACTCTGGATAATGTTTTTCAACATTATCAACCCTGAATCCTAGTTAATTCTTTTTACACCATATTTGTGTCTAAAAGTATTCTGTCAACCAGCAACCATCTATAATATTCTGCCCTATTGTTAATATCAGGTTTAATTGCTACAATAAAGATTATTTAAGGAACAGAAGAAACTAATGATTTTAGAAGCATTTAAGAAAAAAGAATATAAAGAAAAAACAATATATGAAAACATTTTAGGTAGTGTTTAAAATAGGACTGTGATGTTGTGAATTATAAGATATATCAATCTGTTCTTCCTCCAGGATTCTAGCAGAGAGTTTCTGAAACCCTTGGAATTACCTAGATGGTGAGAGTGGTTAAAGTGCCTTTTGTTATGTTAATGAGGCACCATTTGGAAAGCTCCTAAGGATTGGGGTGGGTTGCCAATGGAGCCAACCTTGTAATGAGAGAATTGGAATTTTCAGTTCCACCCCCTGACCTCCAAGGAGGGGAGACCTACAGGAGATTGAGTTCAGTCACCTCTGGCCAAAATTTAACCAACTGTACCTATGTAATGAAGCCCCGTAAAACCTCAGGTCAGGGTTCAGAGAGCTTCCTAGTTGGTGAACACGTGGAGATTTGTGAAGAGTGAGCACCAAGAGAAGGCATGGAAGCTCCTCACCCCTTCCCCATACCTTGCCTGTGCATCTCGTCCATCTGGCTGTTCCTGAGTTACATTCTTTCATAATAAGCCAGTAATCTAGTAATTAAAATTTTCTCTTAGTTCTGTGAGCCACTCTAGGAAATTAATCCTTCCTAAGGAAGGAATCTTGGGAATTTACTATCTGCAGCCAGTAACAAGTACAGCTAAGGACCTGGGTTTGTGACTGGCATCTGAGGTGGCCAGGAGGGGAAGGGTGGTGGTGGTGGTAGGGTGTTCGAGACAGCAGTCATGTAGGACTGGATCTTAACCTATGAATCCTGGTAGGTAGTATCAGAATTAAGTTGAGTTTAAGACTCCCAGCTGGTATCCAGAGCTCTACTTGGGGAAACCTCCCACCCCACCCACTGTGACTTTGAAATTGAGCCAAGAACACTAATAAAGACATACCAATCAGCTGAACATGTGACAAGCTGACAGCATATTCCACTTCGATTCTCAAAGACAGAACCCATTCTGTTAATCTGTTTTTTAAAAACACAAGAAGTAAGTTCTGCATACCTAGAACATAATGACTTTCCTCAAAGCATTTTACTTTTATATTATTTTCTCCTTTGTTTTGATTTTTATTAAAAGAATATAACACTATCACAGAAATTTGGAGAATAAGGCTTAAAATGTAATTCTGACGTGTATTTTTTCCAGTCTTTTTTTTTTTTCACAGAAACAGTCTGACATAGTTTTAACTAGCATGCATAAAAATTTCTTTTTTTTTCTTTTTTTTTGCATAAAAATTTCTAAGATTTTTCCAGTTGATTTAATTTGAACACTTACCTGTGTTACTAATAAGTCACTTTAACAGTTTTATATTATACATATTATACTTGATTTAATTATCCATTATATCATTTCCATTATAATTGCATTTCCATTATAATTAGAAATGTAGATTCTTTTGCTTTTTTTACTATTAATGATGGAATAAAACATGAATTTTTTATAAGATTGTTGAGCAGATAAGGTCAGTAGAAAAGAGTTTAGCGTTACAATAGATACCCACAGTCTCCTGGCACTGGCAAGAGTCCAAGGAGAGTTCATGGCTCCTCAGGGCCCTAGAAGGTCTCAAATTCCAACTAGCTAGCTTTGAAACAAGGTGGAAAAGATTTTGTGGCAATCAGTGAAGGTGCTACTCTCAAATCAGTAGGAAAACATGACTTTCCCCAATTCCCTACATTCCCGGAGGACTGATGGGCAGGACAGTAATCAAAGGTAGGTGCTGCAGCAGCAAACAGTGAGAGTAGGGGGTGGGGAAGGGAGCCAGGTGCTGCACTGCTAAGCCCTGTGAGCATCCCCGGAGCTAAGACCCTGGAAACCTGGCCAGGGACACAGCAGCCTGAACTCTCTCTGGTTTCTAACTACTGCCAACTTCTACTCATCTGATAAGCAACCCAGAGTCCATGTTGTCTCTCCTTCTACTGAGCCTTCCCTGCTGTATGAAGTGCGAGACCCCAGAAGTGTGCTTGCTCTGGGCTTTTATGTTTTAATGATTTAAACGATAATAACCATATAATAATATCATAGAAATTTGGAAAATAGGAGTTTGAACATCAAATATAATTCTACTTATATTCTTTTCCAGTCTTTTTTCATGAATACATTCGAGATAATTTGTTAGGATGTGCATATAATGTTGTATCTTGAAGCATGAATTATATTATTTCATAATATGAATTCCCAAAATTTGAATTACTGTTCAAAGAGTTGAAGATTTGGATGATTTAAGGGTCACACTGGCTGTCTTGCAGAAGTTTTATGTTGGAACCAGCAGTGTTAGAGTTTACTGGTTTCACCACTACATCCTTTCTAACACAAGGTATTATTATCGATTAATTTTTTTTATTTATTTATAGATTATTTATTTATTTATTTGACAGAGAGATAGAGCCAGAGAGCACGAGTTGGGGGCAGAATGGCAGAGGGAGAGGGAGAAGCAGGGAGCCCAATGTGAGGCTTGATCCCAGGACCCTGGGACCATAGCCCAAGCCAAAAGCAGACACTTAACCGACTGAGTCACTCAGGTACCCCTATTAAATTTTTATTCAGAAATTAAATAGATCCCAAATAGTATATTATTGCTGCTTTATTATTAATTTCTTTGATATTAGAAAGCCTGAATGATTTTCATGTTTCTCTAGTAATTGTTTTTCAGTATATGTTTTATTTACTGGAAATTTTGTATTTACCATATTTAAGACCAATATTTTCCTCCATTTTGTTGTTTGTTCTTTCTTCTTAAATTTAGAAATGTATGTATGTATGTTTTGAATTTCTTTCCATGTTACTTAGAAAACTATCCCCAATCCAGAAATACGACATTCTCTCATATTCTATTTTGATTTTTATTCTATTTTTCCTGTGCTTTATTTTTACTTAAATTTATAATCATCTTAATTAATTTGTGTATACAGTATGAGCTGAAATGAAGTTGGAACAGAGAGTTCTTTGCATTGCCCTATCTTAAGCTCTTAGAGATCATAGAAACTATCTGGCTCTTTGTTTTGGTCCATTATAACTTTTAAGCCTTGCATAATCCATTTAAATATGTTTAAGGGCAGGGTGCCTGGGTGGTTCAGTCAGTTAAGCATCCTTCAGCTCAGGTCATTATCCCAGAGTCCCGGGATTGAGCCTCACATAGGGTTTCCCTGCTCAGTGGGAAGTCTCCCTCTGCCTCTTCCCAGCTCATTCTCTCTCTCTCTCTCAAATAAATAAAATAAAATAAATTACCTTACCTAAAGGGCTAATTACCTTTTAAAACTCTACTTTTCATAATATTCTTTGATATTCTCAAAGTACATAATAGACCCTTAGTATCCTTTAAGGGAAACATTTTGGGAGCTTACCCATTTCCAAATTTACTAACACCAGACTTAGTGAGTCAGGTACATAATTACAAAGCCAAGCTGCATTGCAGGTGCTAGGCAGTCAGCTGAACTCATTCACAGCAAGACTAGTTTTCACCCACCAGCCTCAAGGTGCACTCAGTTCAATATTGCCTTGGCAAAATAAAACATTACTATATGTCATGGATCTTCAGAGTTGCCTGCTCCAACTAGCTGAAATCATAAATTTTAAATCCACAAAGGCTGAGAGTGTAAAATATTTGCATTCTACTTTTGCCTATCAAACTCTTCTCCATTCTTGTATTATATCTTTGTTGACACCACTTACATTTGTTAGTGGTTTATAAGCCATTGAAGTTGAAACATTGGCCTTATTCTCATCCCCAAGCCAGATATTGGCAAGGCAACACCAACACAACTGTTTGATGCCTGGTTCTTGGTTATTTTATGATTTAAATGTAAATGAATTGTTGACTTGAAACATGCTCTTTGAATAAAATCTTCTGAAATGCACAATCCAACAGAAGAAAATTATGAGACCGTCAAGACTCACCTCAAATGTGTCAGGCAGCCAATGTATATCTGTAATTACTTTCTTATGACCATTTTCTATTGAGGAGACTGCACAGTGTCTGATATATGTTGCTTCTTTATTACTATCTGGTTCAAGGAGAAACATAGGCTGGAAAGATGCGAAAAGAAGGTTAGGTGCCAATTTTAGAGAGCTAATGAGCGAATTCACACCTTATTCATTATTCCAGTTAGAGTTAGTAACTTGGAGAAATACTAGTTCAAAGAAAAACATGGTGTTTCAGTGTATCATATATGTACGTAATAAGATTATATATTTTGCCTTTGGCTTAGTCTAAGTTTTCATGTCTAAACAAGAAGGATTGACCCCACTCCCTAAAGAAATGATGAGATCCCATTTAAGGAATGTTTCATGCATACACAGAAGGCCACGTCCCACTGTGTCTTGGTGAAGGCCCATTGGTGTTCAGGCTGAAGAACGGGGGTAAAGGTGTGCAATATGGTGGGTGAGTACTATGTCAGGAGCTGAGGAATCTCTCCTCAGCCCTCTTGACAGTATCCACAGCTTCACAAAATCACAGTACATTATAATCAGAAAGGATTGTAACCCTTTTATTTTATACATGAAGAAACTGATGCTTGCTGAGGTGAAAGGACATGCCCAAACTCACAGGACCACAGTCCAGAGCCTATATACATGGCCCTTCTGTCCTGTGCTCTTTCCATGACATCATGTTAGGCAAGTCACTCGGTCTCTTTATTTTATTTAACAACAACAACAAAAATAACTTCACATCCTCAGGTAGGTCATGCAACTTGTTTTATGGACTTTTTCACCAAGGGCCTACATAAAAGTGATTGAGAATATGTCCATGAATAGATGTGAAGGTGAAAATACTTGGTGAGGGTGAAGTGAAATAATACTTTTTTCCCACTCTATTGAGTCTTTGCATAGTTTGGCAGTTCTGTTATGTGCTTTTTGACAAACATCTGAATTGAAAAACCTTGGAAGTGAAAAGTTATAAAAAGCTAACCTTGAGCGTGGCTTTTTTACTTCTACTACCACCTGTCTTGATGTTTTCTATGCGATCTGCATGTGCAGTAATATCCCACATGACAATCTAAAACAGAAGTAAATGTTATTACAACATATTTTCAGAAAATAGCTAATTAGGTCTTAAAGATTTCTTAAAAGCTATTGGTATTGGCATGCACTCTGATGAATCAATCTTGAAGGATAATCAAATGTAGCTGACATCTTTAGTAAGTCAGCAACTTTTAAAGCTAACATGAAAAAGAATGTTTTCTTCTCTATAAAAGTATTTTTAGCCCTTTGATTTCTGTGCTTGTGCTTGTGTTAATAAAAGCTTGCATTTTTTAAAACTCCAAGATAAACAGTATGCAATTTCCTCTGCTTTTGGGATTATGCTGTGACTGTGGGGAGAGCTGCTTTGCCTGTTCTCCAGAAATAGTACAAACACTCAATTGTCCAAAAAGGCTGGAAAATGATGATTTCTACTTAATATTCTAGCCAACTGCAAATTTGCACACACATGGATGGTCATTTTTGGAAAAATGAGAATAAAATAGAATATACAACACTAAATTAGATAAATTTTCAATGAATATAAATCATTTCAACACACTGAAATGTTAACAAAATGTCCGGATTACAGAATTGCAAGTGGTTTTATTTTCATCATTTACTTTTCTAAAATATTCTTTTTTAAAAAAAGTTTTATTTAAGTAATCTCTACAATCCAACATGAGGCTTGAAACTCACAACCCCGAGATCAAGAGTCTCATGCTCTTTGAGCCAGCCAAGTGGCCCCTTTCTAAAATATTCTTAAAATTGTATCACCTTCATAATGAGTAACAAAAAGCATTTCAGTATTTGCAGGGCTTGGAGGGTGGGCTCTGGGTCATCCTTATGATCACCAGTTATTGTCAAACAAAACTGAGGGGGAAAATTGTTTTCCTGGTTGTTTTGATTCTGGATAAATGGTCATGGACACTGTAGATAGTTGTTGTTGTTGTTGTTGTTTAAGATTTATTTATTTATTTTAGAGAGAGAATGGGTGAGAGGGTGAGAGGTAGAGGATTGTGAGCAGACTCCCTGCTGAGTGTGGAGCCCAATATGGGACTCAATTCCATGACTGAGATCATGACCTGAATGGAAATCAAGAGTCAGAAACTCAACTAATTGAGCCACCCAGGCATCCCCACTGTAGACATTTAAGTTTTCCATCACAAGGACATTTTCCTAGCTACACACGAAAAGTTCATATACCGTTAATGGTCAAACTCACTGGGTCACAGTGAATGTAAATTCTGATCATAAAACAGCTTTATTGAAGAAACAGTCAGTTGGAGGATAGGATATTTTTTCATATAAATTAGATAACTTAAAAAGAAAAGAAGGGGATCTCTGGGTGGCTCAGCAGTTTAGCGCCTGCCTTTGGCCCAGGGCCTGATCCTGGAGTCCCGGGATCGAGTCCCACATCAGGTTCCCTGCATGGAGCCTGCTTCTCCCTCTGCCTGTGTCTCTGCCTCTCTCTGTGTGTCTCTTATGAATAAATAAATAAAATATTTTAAAAAGAAAAAAGAAAAAGAAAAGAAGAGGGCACCTGGGTGTCTCAGTGGTTGAGCATCTGCCTTTGGCTCAGGTCATGATCCCGGAGTCCCAGGATCAAGTCCATTATCAGAATCCCCACAAGGAGCCTGCTTCTCCCTCTGCCTATGTCTCTGCCTCTCTCTGTGTGTGTCTCATGAATAAATAAATAAAATCTTAAAAAAAAGAAGAAAACAAATATGGTATCAAATAATAGGTATATAAATTCAGTACAATGTATGTTTTTCCAGTGAATTTCTCCTCAAATTCTGGATCATTCCCTAACTCCTACCCATAGGGAAATGTCAGAAAAGAACTCTTGATCATGAGGTATTAATGTTTGTGTGTTTTGTTCTTCTGTGGAATCTTGTACAATATGCAGTTCTATTTCACAAATACAAACAGATTGGACTCAGTTTCATTCCAGTTCTAACTAGATTACTCTATGGACACCTCAAGCCCTGATATCATGTCTAGCACATCTATATACCTCAGTTCTTGGCACACAATTGGCATCCATTCCTTCTGCCATACTGAATCCTTAAATTTCAAATAAACTACCTATCAAAACCTATTACAGAATGTTGTCAAAATTAAGAAATAGCTGGGAAAAAAATCCATAAGTACCTGCCCGTTTATGCAGCCTCCAGCAATGATATTAGGGTCACTTGGACAGAACTTGAAGCAAAAGATGTCATCTGGACTCTCCAGCATTAACTAAAGAAAACCCCCCAAATTCGAGAGATAATGAGAAAACCTATTAAGATCAGAGGGAGAAAATAGTAAGACAGTCAAAAGTTGAATTTGATAGCTGTGTATAAGAAACGTGGACATAGAATCCCACTTCTGGATGGGAAGTTGCTTTTGCTGAATTTTGTGAATGTTGACCATGTGCATGAGAGAGGTATGTTCTCAAGGGCCCGAGGTCTCCCCTTCCTCCACCCTGCACATGTTAGGAGGTGTTGTAATTTTTTATAAACAAGAAGACTAAGCTTAGTGTTTCTGAAGCTCTGTGAGGACAAGATACTTGTCTGTTTTGTTCCTTGCTATTGAGCTAGCACACAGTGAGCACTCAAAAAGAAATGTTGCTGAATGAGAAAAGATAGAGGTATTGCCAGTGATAATATTTCAAATTTTAAAATAATACAGGACCCAGAAGGTGCACAAACTCAAGAACCTGGAAGATAAGAAGGAAGCCCTGCAAGGAATATACGAGTGTGAAGGAATAGGTATATTAATCATCTTTGGCACCTGTACTATATGTTAGCACCAAGCAAAATATGTGCATGCATGGTGACTGTTCTTTCTTAACCATGACCATCAAAAATATGGGGCCCAGAGGCCATTGGTTTGCCACCATCGAGCTAAAGTCTTCAGACTGGAATTGGAGTGAATCATCTTTGTTTATTTGGTACTCTGTAGCTTCTAGAAAAACTTCTACTTTTAAAATAAATTAGAAATATTTCCTCCTATTGTTTTGATAGAACAAAGACAAATGAAATCATTTATATTATTTCCTTAAGAAATGATTTGCTTGTCTTTTTAAGCTATTCTTCAAAATAGAGAATTCTTTTTTTTTTCTTCTTCCTAATTTGCCTGAAAGTTCAGCCACACTTCCATCATGTGGACAGGAAAGTAACTCTAGCCCACTAGAAAATGTTAGAAAATCCCTACTTACCTTTTTGTGGTAATTAGGCTGACAGGAAAGAACAAGAGATCTGTCATTTTGATCTCTAAGTCTATAATAAATAGTGTACTAGAATCTACTATAGTAAAACTGCCTGAATTCAGATGAAATCAGGAAGAAGGGAGAAGGGAAGGCTAGGGTTTCTTACGGAAAGCCTTAGTTATACAATACTTTATAGAAACAAAGTATTATATTTAAGTACATTTAAAAAAAACTTAATCTAATGCAATAAAGCACCTTCTCCCTAAGCAGGACTCCTTTTGAGCAGATGATGGAAATTGAACCCTGTGGGGCAAATCTGGCCCTTAGCCTTGTTTTATTTGAAGTCTGTGTTTGGTTTAGTTTTAGTTGAAACTAAACTATTTAAAAATTGGGAGATTTCACTCAAAAATTCAGATCTGTGTCCTTAACAAACGGAACCACCTGGCAACAAGAGAGCTGAAGTGTAGGTATCCCATAAACGGGCTGTATTCTCTCCAGGGCCATGATGCCATAGTCTTCACCACTCCGCATTGTTTCCCACCCGGGGATCTGTACTCATTACTGTCCCATACTGGTGATCCTCAGAACTGAGGAAATTTATGTCAAATGAACATCTATTTGCATTTGAACAAATAGTCTTGAAATAAAACCCATGAAGGAGTTTGCTTTTTAAAATAGGTTAAATGATCCTCTTAAAATCATTTTTAAAAATAACATGTTGATTTGTTCAATAAACCGTTTCAATAAACTAAGCCTACCCTTTAGTTTTGCTCAAAATGGTGAGAAATTGTGAATTGAAGAAAGCCTAACTTTATAAGCGCTTACCATATTAAGTGGTTATAAAGTACTTTGCAATTAAATCTGCTACAGATAAATATGAACATAGTATTTGAAATTTGTAGACTAGGTGGACAGCTCTCCTTAATTACCTGAGGATGTATGGGATCAGAGAAACTCCAGAAAAGAATCAGTGATGGTTGCAGCAATAATTTACCCGAAAAGTGGACTCTTTCTTCAAGGGAGAGTCGTACAGCCACTGACACGGCTATTAGCCCTGATTGAAGCACAATTAGAAGTTAAAATTCGCAGCAACTATATATAGAGAAATGTTTTTAGGTGTTCCTGCTCTACAGAGTCACTATTCATTTCCATTTTTATGAAACTTCAATGAATATATTCAATAAGAGACTAGGAGTTCTCTTAGAGCTCTATTGTGTAATATGGTAGCCAGCAGCCACATATTGGTTATTTAGCACTTAAAAGGTGGTCGGTCCAAACTGAGATATACTGTTAATGTAAAATAAACAGTCAATTTCAAAGATTTAGCAAGAAAACTTTTTTTGTGTGTAAGAAAAGGGCCAGTGTGGGGAGACGGGGAGGAAAAGAGAAGAACCTTTTTCTCTTTGTGGTTCCATCTGCATGTGGTTCCATCTGCAGAGGGTCCCACCTCCCTTGGCAGCTAAGTGATTTAAGGGAGGTGTGTTTCCTCTCTTATCCAGGAATCAGAGAGGAAGAGTATTGGGGGGAATGGAATTAGCCTTGGGAGTCCCAAAAGTCTGAGACAAATCCAGATTCAGCACTGCACTGGCTGGGTGACCTGAGCCTGTCATCTCCCTGGCTTGGACTCTGGTTCTGTCCTTGTAGAGACCACAATGAAGTGCTCGGGGAACACAGGACTGCGGGGGTGCAGAAGGTGCTCAGCAGGTGCACTGAGCAACTGGAAGTGGTCTTACTGAAATTGAGCAACTGAGCTAGTTTGTAATTTACTATAAAACCAACAGACTATCACTGTGCCACCATAAAGAGAACCGCGGTTGTGTTCATCTCACCATAGATAGTTGGATGCCATGAGACGGAGGTGACCATCTTCTCCGTTAGGTTATGAAGGTCCGTGAAGGACTGGTACTCTTTCAGGTGGGTATCAGTTTTGTCTCCAAAGGTGCTTTCTTCTTCGGCCAGGCACTTCCAGTCATCAACAAAAGGGTTCATGATTTCATTTTGCTGCAGGGCTATTTCAACACTATATTATTAAAACAAACAAACAAATTCAAGACATTGGATTTTCCTATTCAGTGACACGTCTTTCGGCAGCTCCTTCTACTTCATTTATATGGAAAGAAAAAAATATTCTCAATTATATTTGATAACTGATGATGACCCTCATGTGAAACAAGGACTTAAGAGGAAAAAAAAATCCTCGTGGCTGTGTGCTACTCAGAACTTCTAGTGCCAGGACGCTGTTGGCTGGTGGCCTGGAGCACCTTCGTGATCTTCCTGGGTGCCCAAGCCAAGGCTGTGCTCTCCCAGGCTGATGCCTGGGCTGCAGCAATAGGGACAGGGCGGCCTGCCCAGCTCTGCCCCCGGCAGGACTCCTCCACAGGCTGTCCTCCCTCTGGAGCCCCCTGCTGGGCTCGGCTGGGACTTTGACGAAGCTCTTCTTGCCCAATCCTGCTTCGTTTAAAAAAATTTTTTACACCGTGGGTCCCTCAGTAAACCTCCAATTTAAACTCACTCTCATTTGCTTCCTAAAAACCCCAAACTGACAGAAAAGGCAATTTTCTTAGCCATATTCAGTATTGAATGTTCATATATACTAATTATTCTACAAATATATCATTAGGATTATATGTGATCATGATTATAATGGATATTTATATATTGTATATATAAGATTTAAAGTAAGAGATTCTCAGCAGGAGATTTGGAGTTTAGAAATGTGAGATGTGTGTGTGTGTGTGTGCGGTAGTGGTGGGGGTGGTTTCAGTTGTCACAGCACCTGGGAGATGCTAATATATTCAATTCTATTACTAAACTTGCAATGCATGATACAATCTCTAAAATTAAGAATTATCCTGTGAACAATGCTAATATTGCCCTTTCAAGAACCATCTGAGTGCAAGGCTTATCTCTTCATGGCCTAGGACCCTGACTTGACAGGCTCCTGTCCTAAAAGTTACTACAGGAGCTCCCAAAGTGGCGAATGCCCAGATGTGCTGGGAGGCTGGCACGTCTCTCTCCCCCAGCCTCGCACCCTAAATCACTTGTCCTGTGCATCTCTTCCATTGGCTGCTCCTGAGTTGTATCCTTTACAGTGAACTGGTAATAGTAAGGAAAGTGCTTTCCTGAGTTAAAGGAGTCCTTCTGGAGAATTATCGAACTCAAGCAGAAGTATAGCCAGTCCCCCTGCCCCGGGGACTCAAGATTGGTGTCTGGAGATTGGTGTCTGGGGCAGGCTTGTGAGACTAAGCCCCTTACCTCGTGGAGTCTAGACTAACTTGATAGTGCTGAGGGTTAGGGACTTGGTGTTGGACAAGATATGTATTTGGTGTTGGAGGGGAAAAACCCTCCGTTGGTTCCCCAGGGGGTTATCGGGAGGAACCTGAGTGCCCCATTTTCCTGCTTCTCCACATGGCTGGTGACTTCCCATGTTTAATGAAACTGGACATTATAAATGACATGTTGTAGAGACCCTGGATTCTCTTTTGTTCCTCCGAAATGTGAAATTTGTTCTATAATGCAGTTAACTTTGCTGGACTCAAACTCCAAATCTCTTGTCAATTTTTCAGCTTCTAGATGCTGGTTCTGGATCCCCCTAGAGTCTCCCCTAAAAATGAGCACTTTAGTCTACAGTCTAGGATCTGATTAGATTTTTATGTAGATCTGGGGTCTTGGCTTACCTGGGCTCCCTCCCTTCCATGACTTTCCCCTGACTGTTTGGTTTTTCTGCCCCTGTAGACCTGTATGGCTGTAGGTTTCTGGCACCAGAGCCTCCTATGGGTTAGGCAATAATCCATAGAAAGACCCTTGCAAACTTGCAAATCTCATCCTTCTCCTCTCCAGTCCCTGCTTACTTTTGGTCACTCTCCTCAGCCGTCAAGTAGTTGTGTGTACATTTGTATATAAATATGGTTTTCTAGATCTTATAACTATTTTCTGTGAGTTTGACCAACTAATTCCACCATGACTCAGTCATTTGCTTATAATATGAGGTATAAAATGATGTATGTTCTTGAAAGAAGTAGTACCATAAACAAGCAAACAAACAAAAACAAAAAAATTGTTACTCTAAGTTTCTGTCGTGTGTACTGCCCCCTGTATATGCTTAGGTTTGAAAGCTTGGCTCACTTGCATAGCCTCTGGAGCTTTCCTACGATTAGAATGCCACCCAGGATTTTACCCTAATGACTTGAGAGTCCAAAAAAAAAAACCCTCCTTTAGTTAGACAATTAAATATAAACTCTAAGTATTATAATAGGTACTCCTAAGAATGTCATTAAGCAGGGCGACCCTTAATACCTGTGTTGTTAAGAATTAACACTACTGTTCACTGCTTAATTGAATACTCTTGGTTAAATTCTTGTATTTTATCTTCCAAACTAGGACCTAAAGTGTGGTCTGTGGACCATCAGCACCATCATGACTTGGGAGTTTGCTAAAAATGCAGTCACGGATTCTACCCCAAATTTACTGAGTCAGAGTCTGCATGTTAACAAGATCCTCAGGTGATTCATATACACATTTATTTTATTTTATTGTTTTGCTTGAGAGAGAGAGAGAGAGAGAGAGAGAGAGAATGAGCGGGGGGAGGCAGAGGGAGAAGCAGACTCCTTGCTGAGCCAGGAGCCCGAAGTGGGGCTCAATCCAGGACCCTGGGATCATGAGCTAAGCCAAAGGCAGACACTGAACCATCTGAGCCATCCAGGTGCCCCTGGATTAATTAATAAATTAATAAATTAACAAATCAAGCATGTTTAAAAACCCTGTGAGAGGTAGGTTCACAGCCTGGAGCTTCAAATAGAAGCATTTGTTAACATTTTCAAGATCTTGGGGTTTTTTTCTGTTTCAGCCTAAATGAGAAAGAAATTCCCAAGAGACAGGGCTAAAGCCAGGGGCTTTGCTCTGATTTCCTGATTCTTCTCTCTCAGCCTGAACTGGGAGCTAATTCACAAAGGAGAAGTGAAGACAGCGCCGTTTCTCTTGCTTCCTGTTTCTTGGTTTCCTTGCACTCCGGTTTCTGAACGGAGGCTGGCAAAACTGTTGTCTGAGTTAGAGCCTGTAAGTACCCTTTATTTTTTATTTATTTATTTTTTAAAAGATTTTTATTTATTTGAGACACACACACACACACACACACACAGAGGCAGGCTCCACGGAAGGAGCCTGATGTAGGATTCGATCCTGGGACTCCAGGATCACGCCCTGGGCCAAAAGCAGGCGCCCAACCGCTGAGCCACTCAGGCATCCCCTGTAAGTACTTTAAATATATATATATATATATATATATATATATATATATATTTATTTATTTATTTAGAGAGGAGAGAGAGTGAGTGAGAGCAGGGGGAAGGACAGAGGGAGAGAGAGAGAGAGAGAGAGAGAGAGAATGTCAAGCCGACTCCATGCTGAGTGTGGAGCCTGACACGAGGCTCCATCTCAGGACCCTGAGATCATGACCTGAGCTGAAATTAAGAGTCAGATGCTTAATCAACTGAGCCACCCAGGTGCCCCAGTAATTCCTTTTTTTTTTTTCTAGAAAATAATGTTTCTTGGTTGCTTTGAGAATCCCTTGAAGTTCTTCTATCTGCTTTCTTATCATTTCCTTCTTTTGCAAATACTGCTTCCCTTAGGTTCTTTTTGGATAAAATTCTGTAAGAACTCATTTCTAAAAGGGAACTCTTCCCAGATCAAAGCCAGGCTTATATTAACTCTTAAAAAATTGAATAAGCCTTCAACAGTTTTAGAGTGGGAAACATGGCAGGTGATATATTTGTGGGTTTATTTCTTCTTGACCAGTGCTATTATAATTCCGGAGCCAATTTTCCTATTTTTTCTTATATTTCTGGCTTCTCCTTCCCACATCTCAGAGAGGGAAATATAAAGCTGTTTAGTATTCCTCTTTCTAAAGCCTGGTAACTGAAAGGGAAGAATAAAAACTGAAGTCTAAAGATAATACACCATGTGGATAATTAAGAATTGGCTGTAGGCCATTTATGGCTTTATTTTTATTTTTTAAAGTATTTTTTATTTATTCCAGAGAGAGAGAGAGAGAAGAGAGAGAGAGAGAGAGAGAGAGGCAGAGATAGGCAGAGGAGAAGCAGGCTCTATGCAGTGAGCCTGACATGGGACTCGATCCCAGGTCTCTAGGATCAGGCCCTGGGCTGAAGGCGGTGCTAAACCGCTGAGCCACCAGCGCTGCCCCATTTATGGCTTTCAAATGGATAGACATATTTCTCATTTTTAATATTCTTATCAGGAAAAATTTTAAGGACTACATTTTGATATGAGGAAACAGAAACCTTAGGTTTTCTTGTTCCTTTCTCACTGCCCCATAGGAAAATCAATAGCATGCTTTCTGTAAATGAGTGGCAGATAGTTAGCACTATCTATAGTGCTAACCAACTATAGTTGGTTTTTTGTTTGTTGTTGTTGTTTAGTTTTGTAGCCAAGTAGAAATACATTTAATTTTGTCACCAAACAAGAAAATGAGGCTTGCTGCAAAGTTGGAAGTAAACTCACCTGATTTTCATTTCCCCTAATCAACCAACAGTCTACAAAACAGCAGCCCCCTTTTTAAAACATCAAACCTCTGGCAATTTCTGGAGGCTTCATGGAATTCTTTCTTGTAGTGTGTCCCCCTACCCTTGCCATGAGATCTACAGTTTTCCTGCATGTGTAGTAACTTCTCCAGAGACCAGTTAGTACTGAAATCCTGTGAGGAGATGTTTCTACCTCTGGGTTTCTGGCTCTTTGAAAAAAAAAAACATTGTTTCCTCTGCTCTCCTTAGCTTTGATCTCATAGTTATTCTGGTGGCTGGTACAGGGAGATGGCAGGTAGGCTCACTAAAGTGTAGGACAAATTAGCAAGGGACAGCCTGCTGAACAGTCGTTGGTCATCAGGCATTGGAGTATCTTTTTCTCTTTGTTCCAAGTTTTTAAAAATTTTTTTTGTTCCAAGTTTTAATAAACTTTACAAGAAGACCCAGAGTAAACATAACTATACATATATAAAGCATTTTATCTAGTTTAATATACTCACTCTCTTTGCTTCCTTGGTGAGTTTTTGAACCAGATCCCCCCAGGCAGAGGTAATTACTTTCTAAATGTTGTTGGGATTTTCAGGATATTTAAAAGTCTCAAAGAATTAATGGTGTTTTCTTAAAAATGAAAAAGCTTACCATGTGCTATGTATGACCTTGACCAATAGATTTTTAATTTTGGAAAGAAATGGAAACCAACCTACAGGGTACAACTGGCAGACTTTTCCACCACTGGTTCCACTTCCTCTGAACTCTGATTTCGACTTGAGACTTTGTCAAGTTCTTCTCTGATTTAGAAACCCCAGGGTCCTAGTAACAGTGTGTGTGGGTCTCTGAAGAAGCCTCTCTCTCAGACTCAGTAAGAGAGGAATCAGGGGTAAAGGGTAAGATACAAAGGTACATCTGAATTGAATTCAGGATATCATTTACAAAGATCATCATTGCCATGATCGTCCTCCACACCCTCTGCATCCTCATCTTTGTGATCCTATACAAGTTAATGAAACTAAAAAGAGGAGTGAAGAACAAAGACTTAAATAAAGGGACTATGTGAATAGCTATTAGTTTGCCATTAGGAAAACATCCTCACACACTCAACTGTATACATTTCCCAGATGAATGCTGGTGTGGTCTTAGCCTGGGAGGTCTAGGATGTTGCCTGGCAATAGAAAGGAAAGAAAGACTGAGAATGTGTAACATGCTCATGCATATCTGATAACTCATCATACTCTCTAACTAGACACCATGGACTGAGTTGCCTTTTAAGACCCATCATAATAGGTATGCATACACGTTTTATGCTTATTTAAAAAACTCAATATGCAATTTTTACCTTATAGACACGTTATTAAGAAAGTCACTCAGAGTCTTTGATTGTCCAAATATCTCTTTTTCCTCCTCTGAAAATTCTCTTGGATAATATTGTGTAGTGGCATTTTTGGGGTATGTCCTAAAAGAAAATTGAATACCAAAAATAAAATCAAAGGAAAGTAAATATATAGGTTGTGACAGATCAAAGGTTTCTTTCTGTGATAGTAATAAGATACTATTTTTTATTTAAACTCTATATATTGAATTTTTTTCTTATCCTAGATAACTCATGTTGACTGCCTTTTTGAAATACTTTGAGTATTTATGTATTTGTTTCCAACATAATCAAGAAATTCTTTTTTTTTTAAGATTTTATTTATTTATTCATGAGAGACACAGAGAGAGAGGCAGAGACATAGGCAGAGGGAAAGGCAGGCTCTCTGTAGGGAACCCTATGCAGTACTTCATTCTGGGACCTCGGGATCATGACTTGAGCTGAAGGCAGACACTCAACCACTGAGCTACCCAGGCGTCCTCAAGAAGTTATTTTTTTAAGTTTTTATTTAGATATTTTTAACTTACAGAAAAGTTGTAAGAAAGATCTAAGGAACTCCCAGACACTCTTCATCCAGATTCATCAGTTATTAACATTTTGCCACATTTGTTCATCATTCTCTCTCTTCATTTCATTAAATCAGCGCTTCTTAACCAGTGCAATCCTACTCCACCCTGACACCCTGGGAACTTTTGGCCACATCGAGAAACATTTTTGGTTGTCACAAGTGGAATGTGCTACTGGCCTATGGAGGGTAGAACCCAGGGATGCAGGGATACCCTACAACACACAAGACAGCCTCCCACAAAGGAGATTTATCCAGCCCAAAATGTCAGTAGGGCTGAGATTGAGAAACTCTGCTCTAAATATACAAAACTAGAAACAATTTACATTTCAGCAATGATGGCACCATGATCTCTGGTAGGAAGCTTATTCCATCCAATCTGTCCTCCCCTCCCTCCTTGAACAAATCCTGTTGCATTTGGGCATTGGCAGTCTCACCCACTAGAGCAGGGAGTTCCTTGATTCTAGGGTATGGGGCTATAGAAAGGTCATATGGCACAGTCATTAAGAGTGTGCATTCTGGTGACATGCTGCCTGGTTTTGAAGCTTGGTTTTTTATCACTTACAAGCTTTGTGACCTCGAGCTAATTATTTAACCTCTCTGTGTCTGTTTACTCATCTCTACACGAATCTCTCAAAGTACCTGGCTCATAAAGTCATAGTAAATTGAATGCATTAATACATGCAAAGTTTTAAAATAGCACATTATAAGTGCTCAAAAAAATATTAGGTTGTATTTAATCTATGTTGAGCAAATGTCAGTAAAGTGTCTCAGTGGGAGGCAAATATATTGAGTAATGAAATAAGGAGTAAAGAGAGTTTTATGTTTTTCTTTTTTTTACTTTCTTTCTTTTTTTAAGAGCTTATTTATTTATTTATTTATTTATTTATTTATTTATTTATTTATTTATGATAGTCACACACAGAGAGAGAGAGAGGCAGAGACACAGGCAGAAGGAGAAGCAGGCTCCATGCACCGGGAGCCGGACGTGGGATTCGATCCCGGGTCTAAAGTCAGGTGCTAAACCGCTGCACCACCCAGGGATCCCGAGTTTTATGTTTTATATTTTATAAACAATTCTTTTTTCCCCTAGCTAGCTCAGTATCAGTAGCACAAAGCAGAGGGCTAGAAAGAATGTTGGTGTTGGAACCAGAGAGACCTGGGTTCAAATCTTAGCTTCAGTTCTTAATTTCTAGCACACATTAGTGTTCTCTAGGTAGGATTAAGTAAGAAATTATACACCATGTATTGATTTCATCCAAGTAGCAATATGACTAAGAGCCATTCTTATTTTTTTAATTTGATTATTTTGTTATTTCTCAGCAGATCTATTTGTGATTGCTTCAGATTTAAATTATGTTCTGAATATTAAGCTTTATTTTTAACCTGGCTCTGCCCCATTTTATTTAGCTGTAAAATGGGGATAGTGCCTACCTCCGAGGGCAGTTGTAGGAATTAATTGAGTCGCTGTGTGCCAAGTGCTTAGAAGAATGCCTAGTGTGTGGAAAGAACACTGGAAACATTCGCTTTCACTCTCAGTCCTCTTTGAACCTCATCTTTTATTTATTTATTTTTTTTAAGGCTTCCATCACAATCATGTAGCTCAGCCTCTCTACCCTCAACTAGCCACCCTTCTTGATTTCCTGATCTTGGTAAGGAGTACCAGCATTCTCCTAGTCACCTAGATTTGAAACTTTTGATTCATATATTTTGTTTTCATCTTAAGGGTCAAGAATTTTGCTTACTTCTCATCTTTTCACTCCCTTTACGTGGATACAATGGTCTCTCAGTACAAATCAGCATTCATTGAGAGGCAACTCAATCTAGAGTCCTCTGGTTTGGGTTTCTGTTGTTGGAACCTCCCTGTCCTTTCCTGAGTCTACCCCCCAAGTCTAACCTGATTGACTCCTGCTCTTCAGTTTTCTGCATCCTGGAAGGAACACAGAAATCTCTAGCTGGCTTGGCTTAGAAATTTGTCTCAAAGTCTTAGTTTCTTTGGTACTAATGTCTCACGTCTCTCCTTCCTATCTTGGCCTCACTTCTTGGTATTTATGGATCTCTGGTGTCTTAATTCTCTTCTCAGACTTGGCTACTGATCCTGTATTTATATTTACCTCCCTTAATTTTAGCCTGTCTATCCATCTGCCTCCCTCATTTCTGACCCATTTATTATTCTGGCCCCGGTATTGATGTGTATGTGCTCTGACTTTTAACATTCCATATTTATGGTTTCTGACTCATTGGTTTACATAGGTTTGAAAAGCATGTCTTGTATTTCCCTCTGCACTACTGATTCCTGATTCTCCTGGTCACTGCATATTTCTTGCTCTCCTCTTAATGCTGAAATCAAGTCAGTCGTCTGTTCTGAACATTTTTCTTTAACTTGATCCATCTCTCCCCTCTTCCTTCCTTCATTTGATAAATATCTGTCAGGAAATATCCTAGGAGTTGAGGATATGGAAGTAAACAAAACAGACAAAATTTCTGTATCATGGAGCTTACATTTTAAGGCAGCGTGCAGGGAAGGTGAGAGAAGAATGACAAACACATATCGAGTGATGATAACATGAAGAGAAATAGAGTAAGGGGGCAGATAGATTTATAGATGGTCCTCAACTTATGTGATTTTTTAAAAATTTCACAATGGTATGAAAACAATAAGCATTCAGTAGAAACTGTACTTTGCATTCCGGATTTGGAATTTTCCTGGGCTAGAGATCTGCTGTATGATCCTCTCTCATGATGCTGGCCAGTGGCAGTGAGCCAGAGCTCCTAGGGAGCCGCACGATCATGATGGTGAACAACCCATACACTGACAACCATTCTGTAGTCACACAACCATCTGTTTTTCACTTCCAGTATTTAATCAATTACATGAGATATTCAACACGGGAGTATAAAATAGGTTTGTGTTAGATGATTTGTTCCCAACTGTAGGCTGATGTGAGAGGAGCAGCAGGGGCAAAGGCAGGAATATGTGGAAAAGCAGACATTCTGGAAGCTAGAAGCAGCTCCTGAGGCCGGAGCGCAAGAACATGTTTCAGAACAGGGTGACAAGGCTGGAGTGGCAGACCGTGTCTTGTTGCAGAGGAAGGAGGACCTACTACCATCCTAAGGGCTCTGGGTGTGGTGGGGAGTCAAAGAAGAGATTTAGGCAGTGACATAACACAATCTGCTGTGATATGTGAGAATGATCACTTAGGTGTTGGAATAGGGTAGTTAGAAGCAGAGGTAAAGAGACAATAGGGCCCCTTCTCTGACAGCAGGAGTGTGATTATTAATAGCATCAATTATGGTCCGATTTCAAACTGTTTACACTCTGATATACTTGTCTCTTATTTTCCTATAGAGATTTTATTTTTATTTTTTTTCTAACAAGACTTTTAAAAGGCATTGTTGAGTATAATTAGAGCTTCTTGAATTGCTCCGTGAAGATCTATATCATCATTGTTGATCCATTTCTATTTATTATAAAGATCTTTCAAAGATTCATGGATGGTGGTAGATTTCACTATAATTGCCTTTGAAAATATACAACCCCATTACATGCTTACCATCTTGTTTGAGTACTTGTGTCCTTGACTTTGGGGACTACCTGCATGCCAACATCTTTCTCGAGTTGCTTGAGGGTAAAATTTCTATCTGGGTAGGCTGTACACTCAATATAGGCATCTTTTATACTGGAAGCATTTTGGTCACTGAACTTAATTGGCGCTCCAAATTTACTTCTTTTTCGAGAAATCATATATGTAATCTGCAACAGCAGTAAAAGTAACATAATCAAGTCCAAGGAAAAGTGGATGTATGGTGGACAATACTGGTGCTCTGCTCAAATCCTCCCAAATCTCTTTCTATACTTTCTTTGCCCCTCCAGCTCTGTATGCTTTCTATTTCCAGGGCTGCCACCTACTGCTCTTCTGCAGAGCACTGCTTTAGGGCTACTGGGACCACTTTGGTACAAAGGTACCAAAAAATAGGACGTGACTGGAAGCTTACATCTTGACTAGTGTTGGACTGGTAGGAGACATGTGTAAGCCTATCTTTTTTTGCTGCTGTTTGGGACAACCCAGGTATAATTTACATTCCAGGGTTCCCCTAGGGGTTCAAGCTGAAGCCTTTCCTCTACTGGACTTGTGCCTGAGACTGCATCCTTGGTAAGGACTTCTGCTCTGTCCTTATCCTGCTACTTTTCCTATTCTTCTATGGAACATTTTCATAATAAATCACTCACATACAAAGCTTCTCAGGGGCTGAGAATGCCACTGTGTCAGTTTCCTAGGGCTGCTGTAACCAGGTGCCACAACCTGGGTGCTTTAAAACAACAGGAATTTATTTGAACTATGATCATAGTTGTGGAGGCTGGAAGCCCAAGATCAAAATGTTGAAGGCTTTGTTCCTTTTTAGGGGATCTGAGGGAGAATCTATTTCTTGCCTCTCTCCTAGCTTCTGGTGATGGCCAGCAACCTTTGCTGTTCTCTGGCTTGTAGATACATCACTCCAATTTCTGCTTCCTTCTTCACATGGGTTCTCCCCATGTCTTTGCATGGCTTTCTTTTTATAGGGACACAAGTTCTAGAGGATTAGCGACCACCATTTCCTAATAGGGTCACATTCTGAGGTACTGGAGATTAGGACTTCAACATACCTCTTTGGGGGAACACATTTTGACCCTTAATACCCAAAGACTCCAAACAATGACCATTCTTCTATCAAACGAAAAATGACATTCCCACTGGCAAACATAGCAAACCTCACAGATCCCTCAGGAAGCATTATAGAGAGGTAACACACTGAAGATCATATCCAAGCCTCTGACCTGTTTTGTAGATTCCTTAACTGATTCTTCCTCAATTTCTTTTTCACTGCCCAAAGAAACCCATGGTTTAGAGACAGGTGGCCTATAAACATATAAATCTTCTATAATATGCTCCTTGTAGTCTTCCTGTTCTTCTGCTATTTCTGGAGGCTGGAGTAAAATAAATAGCATGCTAAAATACATGACCAGAAGTAGATTATAGCTGCATGTGTATATTTCACAATAAACTTTACATTTGTATAAATTCATTAAGCACTTCCTTATTTTCTTTATTGTTGGTACATGTTTTTCAATTAGGAGAAGGAAACTGAGCAAAAGAAAAGAAAAAGCCCTTTTAGTCTTCACAACAGCCCTGGAAACAGATACTGTTGGTGCCAACACTTTGCAGACAAGTGGTTCAGTAACTTACTCAAAGTCATGGAGACAGGAAAATGAGAACCAAGAATATGGGACAAAGAGTGGCCAACAGCAATGTTACTCCAGATTTACCGTTTCTGTTCTCATAGGTTCAGTGAAGGGCAAATAGGTAAGTAACTGCTACTCTGAGATGTTTGACTTAGCTCATCCCACATTTACTGTTTACCTACTTTAAATGCCAGAACCTGGTCTAGGCCCCAGGGAAAGAGAGCTGAACAAGACTAATCATAACCATGCATAGGTCTCCCCTGGAGGTATTTCTTCCTTCAGACAACCAACAAAATGCAAGGAATTGGGGTATGCTTACATTTAAATAGTTTTCTTTGCCCTCTTCAGTTCCAATAAGATAAAAGTTAAGTCCATATCTGAAGTCTTTGTCATAAACAACCAGAAGCTCATCTCCGGGATATTCCTATAGGAGTATAATCAAAAGGGAAGGTCAGCTTTCCTTCAGTTTACTCAGCCACAAAATTGATATATTTTTAATCAATCATAAAAGGGTAACCACAGTGCTTATCTATGGCTCATAATCCCAGGTTGTAAAATTATTTTATTAACATAATATAGCTCTTAAAGTTCAGTAGGTCCAGAGAAATTTACCATGCAATTTTATTTCTAATGGGAAAAAAGAAGCATTCCTTTTATTTGGTGTTGGTGCTCTATAGCATATTTGGAGGCAAATCAGGACCAAAATTATGAATTAAAAAAATTAAAGCAGTATGGGAAAATAAAAGTACATTCCTATTCTAGTTGAAATTGGGCAAGGATGAGCTTTTCTGGGTGTGAAGTAAGAATCAGTCATTGATAGGTGTTTGCTTTTCACAAAGGATCATCAAGCAGAGTTCCAAAGGAGGCATGGGCAAGCTAGCATTTGCCCAATGTGATGGGGAGAGGGGAATGGCACAGGTTTGAATTCAACAATCTCTCTACCTTTTGTTATTATGTGCTAGAAACTTCCTGAGGTAGAACTGAAAAATAAAGAAGGGTGTTGCACTTACTTGGATAACTTTTCTGACTGGATAGAAATCAGATACTGCAGCTCTGTTTTGAAAGTCTGCAAAAATATCTTCTTTTTTGATAAGCTTATAAGGTTGCTCATCTGTGACATCTTCATCTATTCGGCAGTTAAATATTTCCTGGGTCTGGGTAGTTAACACCAAAGGGTAAATTTCTGGATGACCTGGGGAAGGCAAAGTAGAATTTGGACATTAAATATAACTGCTTAAAATAGTAAGAAGAAACATAAATTTGTTTGCTTTAAATAATTGTCTTGGTTAAGATTTTAGAAGACTTTAGAATAATTGTTCTTATTTTTAAAGTAAGTATATCCATTACAGAAAATGTCAAAAAGGTAAAAAGAAGAAAACAACAATTATCGGTAATACTACCCTTCAAGAGAGCCTCTATTAATAGAGTGCCCTATTTTCCCTCTCTCAAGATGTCTTCTCATTTTCTTATCCTTTTTCATTATCATCAGTTTCCATGGTCCCAGTCTCAGCTCTGCATCTATCCCCAAAACTCCCTCCCCCAAGTCTCCCTTCCAGGGTCCCAGAGCCCACTCCCATCTTTTCCAGACCCTATACACCTGGACATCCTGACATCTTTTCTCCTACTGCTCAACAGATGTGCCAGCAAGGGGAGAAGTGCATGTGGCCTCTTAAAGTGGAATTTAGGGCTTATTTTCCTATAGAAAGATTTATCACCCCTCCAAAAAAGAAATATTTACCCCCCCACCCTAGTGGCTCTATGACACAACTATCAGGTAATTTGGAGGGGAGGGGAATGACTATGTGCATAACACATTATGATTATATGTGGAGATGTATTCCAAATTGCAATCAGTTGGCATAATAAACATTTGGAATACAAGTTGTTCATAAATTAGGGACAAACTGTCATTTTTCCCTCCCTGGGAGTTGAAAATGGGGGAGCTGGGATCCAAACTAAGGTCCCTGCATTCTTACTACCATGCTGTACTTTCTTTCTAATGCGTGGACACAGCAGAGCACAGGAGGAGGGTCCTGTTCCTTCCTCACACATGGTGGGGGAAGTGACAGATTACATCCCACAAGATACAGTGAGTGGCAGTTACTGACTTAGTAGTTGATAGAGCAGAAGCCACAGACAGACTTAAGCTCTAAGTAACTTACTCCTCAGAATCTTACTCTGTGTGTACAAGGAAGAGGCCTATGCCCTACAAACCTTAGCTTATACCTCAATTGCCCTGCATTTTGAAACAGAGCTAATTTAAATAACTCTCATGTATTTCATCTGTTTATTTAATATTTTGGTTGCTATTTACTTTTTTTAACATTTTATTTATTAATGAGGAGAGAGAGAGAGAGAGAGAGAGAGAGAGAGAGAGAGAGAGTGGCAGAGACAGAGACAGAAGAAGGCTACAAGCAGGGAGCCTGACGTGGGACTTGATCCCGGCTCTCTAGGATCACGCCTGGGGCCAAAGGCGGCGCTAAACCACTGTGCCACCCAGGCTGCCCTGCTATTTACTTTTTAAAAAGCAGTTTATTAAAATATAATTGACAAATAATAAACTGGATATATTTAAAGTGTACAATTTGATAAATATATGCATACACCCATGAAGCCATCACCACAATCAAGATAAAGAACACATCCATAATCCCTCTTGTTTCCTCTTATCCCTTCCTCCCTGCATCCCTCCCTCGCCCCTAGGCAACCACTGATCTGCTTTCTATTACTTATGGCTTAGTTCACTGTTCATGGAATATTTACAAATGCAATTACACAGCATGTTTATTTATCTTCTTTTACTCAGCAAAATGATTTGAGATTCATTCGTGTTGTTGCATGTAGCAATGGTTCATTCCTTTACATTTCTGACTGATAATCCATAAAAGAAAAGATCGATAAGGCAAAGATTTCTTAAGATTTATGACTTTGAGTGTTATATCTAGGATATCTTTGCCTAATCCATGGTCACAAAGATTTTTCTCCTATGTTTTCTTCTAGAAGTTTTATAATATTTGGTTTTATATTAATGTCTATGATCTATTTTGAGTGAATTTTTGCATATGATGTGAAATATGAAGGTTTTTTTTGCATATAGATATACAATTATTCCAACATCATTTGTTGAAAAAACTGTTTTTTCTCCACTCAACTGCATTTGTACATTTTTGAAAATCCATTGACCATATATATGTTAGCCTACTTTGGGATTCTTCATTCTCATTTATTGGTCTATGTCTTTATAGCATCTTTTTAAAATAGTAACAACAGGGGCACCTGGGTGGCTCAGTGGTTGAGCGTCTGTCTTCATCTCAGGGCATGATCCTGGGGTCCTGGAGTAAAGTCCCACACTGGGCTCCCCACTGGGAACCTGCTTCTCCCTCTGCCTATGTCTCTGCATCTCTCATGAATAAATATATAAAATCTTTTAAAAATAAAATAGTAAAAAAATAAAATAAAAAATAAAATAGTAACAGTGTGAACCATCTTTGTGACGGCCCACGTAAAGAAGTGTGTGTGTACTACCTAATTTAACTTCTAATAATCTCATGAGGTAGGTCTCACTACCTTGTTTTCCAGATGAGGAAGTAGAGGCTCAGAGAGGTGAAGTGATTTGTGACCGCACAGTTATTAAATGGTGGAATTAGGAATTGAGCCAAGTCTGTATAATTCCCAAACCTGTGCTATTAATCACTGATGGTAAACAGAATAGAGTCGCCTCATAGGTGTCCATGTCCTATTCCCTGAAACCTGTGAATAAGTTACCTTATATGACAAAAGGGACTACCAGATGTGATTAAGGTAAGGAACATGAGATGGGGGAGATCATTGGACCCCTGAGGAGGGCCCAAGGTAACCACAAACGTCCTTGTAAGATGAAGGCAGGAGGGCCGAAGTCAAGGAAGGAGATGTGACAAAGAGGCAGAGGTCAAAGAGAGAAAGATTAGAAAATACTACATTTCTGGCCTTGAAAATAGAGGAAAGCACCAAGAGTCCATGAATGCAGAGAGCCTTTAGCTGAAAAAGGTAAAGGCGTGGATCTTCCCCTCAAAGCCTCCAGAAGGAACCAGAAGTGTTAATATCTTGACTTTGATCCAGTGAAAGTAGTATCAGACTCCTGGTTTCCAAAATAGTAAGATAATTAGCCATTTAAGTTTTAAGTGTTTTAAGCCACTAGGTTTGTGGTAATTTGCAGCAATAGACAATACACTACTGATACTCTAACCAGTATTAAAGCATGACTTATACTTTGGATAAATTATTTAACTTCTGGGAGTCACAGCATCTCCACCTCTGTAATGGCCATGATAATGCATACTTCGTAGGGACAAACAAATGACAAGAGTGTGCCTGGCACAAAGGTATTGCTCCATAAATATTAGCTACATGTAAAAATTACATTTATTTTCTAGACACCTCTAGACATTGCCCTTTGGAACATTGGGCAACAGTTTTTTCATTAGTTCATCGATCCCTATGTTTTTAGAAGGAAAGGGAATCCTAGTTCCCTGGGAGATGAGCCACAAGTCCTGAGTGATGGTTGACAAAGTCAGGACCCCATAGCAAGGAAGTCAGAGGGGTCCTAACATTGCCCTGGAAGGCCTGGGGGTAGAAGAGAGATGCTATAGTATAAAATAAATCAACACCTACCTTCAAGTCTTACTACAACATACAAAGGTTTTGTTTTTTTCTCCTTATATAGACATCTATTTTTTATCCCATTTATTGTCTGCTGAAACATCTCCATCATGCCCTATTCTCAGGTTCATGGATTTTCTTGCCAGTCAACACATTTAGTCAAGAAATATTTATTGAGCAACTACTATGTGAAAAGCATAGTGTTGGTACTAGACTATCTAGAGGGAGAGGAAGACATTAGACAGATACACTCAGAAATACAGAAATACAAATCATGACAAGTGCTATTTAGGAGAAAACAGGGTGAAAGGTAGAACTTAAAACTAAGAAGAGTGGGTCTGTTAGATAAGAATAGGGAAAGCCATTTATTCATTCATTTATTCAACAAATCAATTAACAAATATTTGCTGAGTGCTTATTATGTATCAAGATCTGTTCTAGGCATTGGGGTAAAGTGGTGAACAAGAGTTACTGTTTCCCCAGAGTACATGTGTGCATATGTGCATGTGTGTGTTTGAGTGAGAGAGAGTGTGCACAAGGGCCAGCCAGGTGTGTGTGAAAACAGATTATAAATGCATAAAGAAATAAATACAATCTTCATTATTCATGGATTTTGTATTGCAGATTCACTTGTTAAAACTTATCTGTAACCCCATGATTGCTTTGGCAGCACACATATAAAGATTGGAATGATATAGAGAAGATTAGTGTGGTCCCTGTGCAAGGATGACATACAAATTCATAAAGTGTTCCATATTTAAATAAAACCAAACAAAATGTATTTGTAACCCCAACGTGTAGTCATGGTGCTTTTACCATCACTAGTGGCCATGCTTATGGTGGCAAAACGTTTGAGCTGCCCAACATCCACGTTCCCATCTTTTATCAGCCCTAAGACTGTAAACAAGTGTCCTTTTCACTGTCTATGTTGTGCCAAATATTCCACATTTTTGTATTTTTCTTGTTGGTGATTTTTCCAGTTAAATGGCCTCCAAGCATAGTGCTGAAGTTCTTTGTAGCATTCCTAAATGCAAGAAGGCTGGGATGAACCTTATGGAGAAAACACGGGTATTAGATAAGCATCGTTCAGACATGAGTTGTAGTGTGTTGGCTGTGAGTCAATGTTATGAATCAACAATATATATTAAATAAGGTGTCTTTAAACAGAAATGCACATAAAACAAGTTTATGTATTGATTGGCTAATGAAAATGTTGTGACCAGAGGCTCATAGGAATCTAACTCTATATTTACCCTAGGAGTGATAGCTCAGTATTTGCTAATTCAGTGTTCACAGCTACTGCAAGAAAAAGAAGAATTGGCTGTACTTTAATTTTGGAATTAGGATAAGTACTATGAAGGTAAAAATATGGTACTAGGTGAAAGAGAGGTCAAGGAAGTCCTTGTGCAGAGGTGGGATTGGAGTCTAGATCTGATTAGTGAAAAGGAGATATTGCATAGAGATCTATCCAGGTATCAGTAGTAGCAAGAGCAAAGGCATGAATAAATTTGGTATGATCTGTGCTAAGCAAGGCTGGTGGGCTCTAGGTTAGGGTAGGATAGTGGTGGGGAGGGGAAGAGGAGAGTAGAGAGGAGAGAGAGAGAGAGAGAGAGAGAGAGAGAGAGAGAGAGAGAGAAAGGCAGATCCAGGACTCCAGGACTGCTATAATGAAAAATAAAACAATGGGAGAGTTTAGGCAGGAAAGACACGTGACCAGGTGGTGTGCAGAATGGATTGAAAGAGAGTGAGTAGAATCAGTGATACCAGGTAGGGGTTAAGGAACCAATCTAGATGAGAGATGTGGAGGTCTGGACTAAGCTTGCAGATGTGGAGATAATGTGAAGTGGATGGGATATATTTTAGAGGTGGAATGGTTTAGATGTGGATGGGGAGGTGTTGAGGGGGAGAAAGGAGTCAAAGACAACTTCCAAATTTCTGGGTGGTGCATTCATTAATTCGATAAATTATTTATTGGGCAGTGTGCCCTGTTCCTGTGCCATTTACTGTCAGCTGGCATCCTCATACCATCTCCCGACCTCCATCCCCCTTCTACCACCCTGGCCCAACCCACCACCTTCTCTCTCCTGGGTTCCTGAAATAGCTTTCTGACTGATCTCTGCTTCTGTCCCTGAAGTTCTCCGCTGAGTAGCCAGGGTGACACTTTAAAAAGTCAGATCCCATCTGTTTAAATACCACTCAAGTAGCTCCCATCCTACATGACTAAAAGTCAAAGCCCTTACAACCAACTACAAGGCTTTTAGACCTTCCTCCTCCCCAACCCTCATTGTTTCCTCTCTGTCTGTAAACACGAAGTACATCACCTAAGTTAAATCTATGAGGAAAGTTTGAACAACCAAAACAAAAGGTGCTATTGGAGTAAGATTCTTTAGCCTCTAAAAGTAGGAGCAACATTAATTTGGTTGTTTAAGTTCTAGTTTATTTGCTTAAAAATTAGCCTCTTTACTTGAAATAGTGGGATCTTGCCATGAGGTAAAGATAAATATTGCCCATGAGCCGGAGTCTTAAAAATATCATTCTAATGAAATTAATAACTTGCAGACTCACAACACTTTATAGTCTCTTCAGTAACGATACCATGTTAGATTTGTGAGAGGCTGCTCTGCTCAAGTCTGTTTCTCAGCTTGAAATTCTCTCTTCCACTCTTACTCTTTATTCTTTCTTTAAAATTTTTCACTTTATATCCAAATGACATAATGTAATTTTAGCCCACGTGCATCTTGATCAATCGCTTCAATTTGTATTGTTGTTTGCTTATTGCTTATCAAAATGTAAAACTGGGGACATAAATTCCCAATTATATTTCCACTTACCCATGCTCTCCATATTTAGAGTTTCTGCTTCTTCACTCTCTAGAATACAATTAAATGGTGTCAAATTTACATTTTTGAAGCAAAAAATGTTGTAGTTTTTACAGTCTTTTACTAAAGCCTCAAAGCACAAAACATAAACATAAATACACAATGAAGACAAACTATTTTATGAGTGATTAAATAGAATTAGAATAATTATCTGTGTTTCATAGAATGATCTCTTAGCGATATTTTCTCTATGGCATTCATTCTATGACATTTAACAGGTATTATAATGAAATGAATTAAAAATAAGAATAAACCTCCATGCTTTAAATCCTGTATGTGGTTGACTTTTTGACAACAAAACTATTTCATTGCATGATATATAAAACCATAGTCATTTTGGTTGCTAATGTATATACAGTTGCTAGACCCATAAAAATCCCATCGATGAAAAAACAATCCTACCAGGTAATATTGGTTTGGGTTTGCTCCGTTTGGAATTTTTTCGGTCACCTGAGCTCTTTTGTTTTTGAGATTTTGGAGCCATGGCTCTGAGTTAGGCTGCATAAAGAGACAACAGCATGAGTACATTCTGCTTTACACTTTCAAATAATAAGCATTATCATTTGATAAAACATAAGAATATGTTTTCTAAGCTTTGCCTTTTGTTAAATCGACATGTGTCTTCACAGAATGGGTGTTCTGTGACCAAAGGTTTATTGCAATAACAATCTTACTGAGAAGATCTTGCCATTCTGGGGGCACCTGGGTGGTTGAGAGTCTGCCTTTGGCTCAGGAGGGCATGAGCCAGGGTCCTGGGATCAAGTCCCGCATCGGGCTCCCTGCTCAGTGGGGAGCCTGCTTCTGCCTCTATGTCTCTGCCCTCTCTCTCTGTCTCTCATGAATAAATGGATAAAATCTTTAAAAAAAATAGATCTTGCCATTCTGGTGGAGCCATCCAGCTGAAGCACACAAAAGTGACCTGCCAACCCTTCAAGGGTTCAACCATAGGTGCCACCATGGAGCATGAGAGAGGATGCTGCTTCCATCAACTCTTGCTGCTGTCCCATCCCAGGGAGCTGTTACCTGCTGCCCAGTGGCCAGTTCCCCAGCGGGTGCCCTAGCAACAAAGACAGGCTGCAAGTCCACTGGTAGACACAGGCCCATAATGTACATATATGTACATAATTTTAAAAATTAACATGATTTCAATAGTACTTAGGTCCTAACCTGTGTCCGTGTAACCCTGGTGTCCTTACTTGTGCTGTCAGAGAGTGCCTCCAAAGTTTTCTGTGAAATCACTCATCAGTTTTGAGTGAGGCCATCTGCTATCACATCAAATCCTTGTCATCTCAGTGGTCTACGCCTCATCTTGTCAGATGGTTAGGAGTGTGATTTCAGGAGTCTGAGCAGCAAGGTTGAAAAACAGACTCTGCCTTTGACCAACTGAGTGATCCTTGGCAAATTATATATCTTTGAGTTTCTGTTATTCATGTTTAAAGGGGGGGGGCTGATAAAAAAAAAAACAACCTACCTCACAAGATGGTTACAATGATTTAATGAAATAAAGTTGTATCTTCCTCAACTCAATCATATCAATCAGACTGGTTGCTTTTTTTTTTTTTTAAGATTTATTTATTTGGGTCATCTGGGTGGCTCAGCGGTTGAGTGTCTGCCTTTGGCTCAGGTCACGATCCTGGGGTCCTGGGATGGAGTCCAGCATCGGGTTCCCTGTAGGGAGTCTGCTTCTCCCTTTGCCTATGTCTCTGCCTCTCTGTGTCTCTCATAAATAAATTAAAAAATCTTAAAAACAAAAGATTTGTTTGTTGAGAGAGAGAGAGAGAGAGCATGATGGTAGAGGCAGAAGGAGAGGGAGAAAGAATCTCAAGCAGACTTCCCTGAAGGCAGAGTCCAACACGGGGCTTGATCTCATGACCCTGAGACCAGGACCTGAACCCAAATCTAGAGTCAGTCACTCAACCGACTTCACTACCCAGGTGCACCTTGTTGCCTCATTTTAATAAACCAGTACAGGTTGAAAATTATTTCTTAGTCCAGTCAGAATATCCTGATTTTCATTTTATGCCTTGTCCCCTGATTACTAAATCTGGACCAAAGTGGGAGTGTGTGTTTGTGACATACATTTTTTTTTGACATACATTTTTTACCTCAGATTTTTCACATGTATTTTTTTTCAAAAGAGAATAATGATAGCTCATGTTTGTGTTTACTATGTGCCAGGCACAGTCATATAAGTACTTCATATGTATTTTTATTCAATTTGAGCCAACCTTTTAGATAAGCATTTTATGAATACTGTTATCCTCATGCTCACTTTATACTGTGAAAACAGAGGCCAGGAAACTTGCTCAAGGGGATACACAAAGTGTGAGCGATAGAGTCAAGGGTGTGAGTCCAGCCAGACTGGCCTCAATGCCAATACTTTTAATCTTTGTACAAGACTCTGCCTTTGCTTTCAGTGGAAACTGTTTACTGTGTTTCATTACAAATGAAATTAAAATCATTGTCTTTACCTAGAAAGGTATGATTTTATGATTTAATCAGAATTTTATGATTCTGACAACTTGGGAATTCCTACTTTTTAAATATCTTGCAACGAACGGCTCTGAGCCAACATTTCAGTCTGTCAAGAATCCTCCAACTCTCTTCTCAGCCTCAGTATAATTTCAAATCTTGAACCTCATCCATTTTTCAGAAAAGTCTTTATCAATTCACCCCTCTCCATACTTAAAACACCTTGGATACCAGCTGGACTCACCCTACCCACATACACACACATACCACCACTACCACCACCACCACCACCACCACCACCACTATCCATTCCACAAATATTTATTGAGCAATTTCAGTGCACTAGAAGATATCCTAGCTGTTAGGAACACAGCAGTGAACAAAACAGGCTAAACCCTTGCACTAATAGAGCTTACATTCTAGAGAGGAGAGAGACAATTCTGGGGCAAGAATATGCTTGGTTAAGAAAACAGGAAGGTCATGATGGCTGGAGTAGAGGGAATAAGGGAAGGTTAGATGAAATTGGCCAGAGAGGTGCTGAGGGTCTATTTTAGCTCTGCTGGGGTAGTAAATGCCCTCCAAATCTCAGTAATATACATCGACAAATGCCTATTTCTTCTTATGTTCTTGTTTTGTGACTGTGAGTGAGCCTGCTGCTTTCAAGTCTTATTCTGGGACTCAGGCTGAAAGCCCCTATTTGGCAGCCCCTACTCTTGTGGCAGAATAAAAAGTGAGAGAGCTACCAGAACTGTGTAATGCCTCCTCCATCTTCTCCGTGGCTCTGGCGTACTGCCCTTTCTGCTTACATTCCATTGGCTCAAGCAAGTCACACGGCCAATCCTGATAATGGAGGAAGAATGCATGCTTCCTTGATAATGGGTAAGAATCTATGATCCTTGCACAGGGAAGGGAGGTTAAGAGTTCTGGATAAAATAGTTTCAAACAAGGATATAATATACCACAAGGGGTCTAGGTCATGTGTAAGGACTTGGGCTTTTATTCTGAAGGAGGGGGGAGCTGTTGGATGGTTTCCAGATGAGTTACTTTATTTGATCTGACTCATATTTTAAGGTCTCTATGGCTGCTGTGCAGTGAAGATTGCAGCAAGGAAAGAGCTGAAGCAGGGGATCCAACTGAGAAACATTCAGTAATCTGAGGAGGAGGTGAGTGTGGAATAGAAAAAGTGGTTGGTTTCTGTGTATATTGTAAGCCACCAGCCAATAGGATTTGCTGATGACTTGGATGTAGGGTCTGAGAGAGAAAAAGGACCAAGGATGACTTCAATAAGTTTCACCTAAAGAATTGAAGGCATGAGGCTGCTATTTATTGAGATGGGGATCTGAAGGGAAGAGCTGATTTGAAAGGGAAACTCAAAAATTCAGTTGAAGGCATGCAAAGTTAGACTATAAAGTGAACTGTAAACTCTGTAACTGGCACAGTGCCCATGCTAAAGCGATGTTGAATTAATCACTCCTGGGTATCCCCTTTCCTTCTGCCATTCTTAGCTTATGCATTTCCAGTCTGAACAAAAGGCATTTTGCTTAAGGTCTGTGGAATCACCTGTATACATGCTGTTTTCGTTTTCCATTGCTGCCCTACCAAATTACCAGAAATTCAGTGTCTTAACACAAATTCATTACTTAACAATTCTGTAGTTCAGAAGTCTGATGTGCCTCTCACTGGGCTAAAATCAAGGTGTCAGCAAGATGTTAAAAAAGGCTGTGTTCTATTCTTTCTAGAGTTCTAAGGGAGAATCTGTTTCCTTGCCTTTTCGTACTCAAGAGGCCACCAGTATTTCTTAGCTTGTGGGCCCTCTTCCTCCATCTTCAAACAACCCAGCAACAGTGGGAAAGATCTTTCTCACAGAGCATATTCTGACCTTCTCTACTTATTTCCACTTCTACTTTTTAAGGACTCTTGTGATGCTGGGCCCACCAAGATTTTATGGTCAGTGGATTAACAATTTTAATTTCATCTGCAACATTTAATTTCTTGTTTGCTATGTATGTTAACATATTCAGTTTCCAGGGATTAGGAGGTGCTGCGTTGGTATTCAGTTTGAATATATAGGTATCAATCTAATGCAATCACCCCAAGAAATAGTCAAAATAATCACATGTGCCCAGTTCTTTTCAAAGGCTGCTATTAAATGATCTGTGGATAATCTGGTTCAATTTCCATATTCAGGGGGAAAACATGTGCTTCCTTACCAGAATAGCTCATTTATTATTTTCATAATATTAACTCCTGTGTCTAAAATATTGTCTAGTGACCAAGGGAAAACGAAGACCGGATTGTTCTATAGGCTTTTAGAGGTCCTAATTATTCTTAATTAAAAGCACAGTATCTAAGCTGCTAGGCATCACAGATGGAAAAACTCATTTGCTGAGGTCAGCCTGGTGAATATAGTCTAAGCTAAAAAGAAAATTATTGGGCAGCCAGGGTGGTTCAGTGGTTTAGTGCCACCTTCAGCCCAGGGCGTGATCCTGGAGACCTAGGATCCAGTCCCACGTCGGGCTCCCTGCATGGTGCCTGTTTCTCCCTCTGCCTGTGTCTCTGCCTCTCTCTGTGTCTCTCATGAATAAATAAATAAAAATCTTAAAAAAATAAAAATAAAATTATTACTTTGGGAGTAGCTACTTTACGTTGTATTGATGTTCCAGGCAAAATTTCATAGTTTATTTTAGTAACTTCAAATAATAGATACCCTACCAATCTTGTGTCTATAAAATAAACTACTTTTAATTGAAGATATCTAGATCAAATGAATGGTGTACTCTATGGAATTTCAATAGACACATATATGCAATGTTTATTTTTTATGCATCTTTTCTTTTAAAAAGCAAATCCCAAATAAAAGATGTTGCTTTAAAAATACAGCACATGGTCTTATTAAGATTTTTTCCCATAAAATCAATTGCATTTTTCATGCAGTGAATATGCTATATTTTCCAAATCTTTTTCCTAGAAAAAAGTCATAAGAATTTTTCAATACAGACATCATTTTCTTTA